CCTCTCCTCTTAATTAACCTCATTATTAACCCCCCACCCCTTGTCCTCATCATCATTATTCAATTTCCACCCCTCTTCTCCCCATCACCCTCATTATACCCACATCCTGGAGGTCATTAGAGGTCATTAGAGGTCATTAGAGGTCATTAAAGTTCAATTTTATTTTATTATAGGAATTTCGAACCCTAATTAGGCGTGCACCCAAAAAATTGGAAGATTTGAACCAAAAATGAAGGCAGGGCCCCCCCCCCCCTACATCAAATGTGCCAACTCCACCATCCCCTTTATATATTTTCCTCAATTCAGCGAGAAAAAAAAACCTACGAAAACATTTTGAAAAAAGGGAAAATTTCATTTCGAGTCGTGTGAACAAACATTTGTTTTTAATGCTGCTAATTATTATCTATCTGGAATTAAAGATACAGATAACAACATTTATTCTATATTTTAGTATTACACATTTGATAACAATGTAAGATAAAAATTCGTTTTAACATTAGTTGGTTAAAATCTTCTAAAGCACCAATTATATCTATATCTTTGCACCTATATATCTCTATATAATAAAGCCCTTCGCCCTATATATATATTTGTATATATACATATATATACTATAGCTGGCCAAACGGATGAATCAAATTGGTTGAAATCTTTCAGGAAATCCCTGGCTACCCTAAATTGTTTCTAAAAATGCTACGGGCAACGTAGGGCACTTTATCTGATTTTTTAAAAACACATTTTTAAGGCGAGTGTAGTTGTGTTTCAATAAAATCGGTTGTATCTAAAATTAGTGACAATTAAGTAAAATTATTGAAACCACTTTATGTTGAAAATAGATCTTTTTTGTTTAGAAAGTACTGAAATGTTTGACTGTTCTGTCACCCTTGTTTTCCTGGCCCTTCTTGTATCTGGTCTTCATGCAAATCAGGATCATGTTGAGGTTTTAGAACCAGGTACAGGGTTTCCCACACAGAATGAGATTGTAAAGACGATCTGAAACTCATAAACTATGATTCCAAGGTTGAATTAAGTCTACATGATGATTCCAAGGTTGAATTAAGTCTACATGATGATTCCAAGGTTGAATTAAGTCTACATGATGATTCCAAGGTTGAATTAAGTCTACTACCTTTAATACAGTATTTTAATAGCTTAAGGGTTCAGAGTAAAATTTTTCAGGACTTTTGAATATACCACGATGTTAACATGACTAAAACGGTTTATTGGTATAAGGTTATATAAGGTTCAAGTTTCATCACTATCAAACTTTGTTCTGATAGTCTTCTTTGTATTCTTGTTCTTCTTCCTTGGCGATGACAGCTCCCAGGCACCTAGGGATGGAATCAGTCATTTTTCTACAGAACGCCTTGTCACTGTCAAGTTCTCTCCATATCCTCTTGATGTTAAGCTTCAGTGAGTTGAAGTTTGTGATCTCATTCGAATCTAACCCTGCTTGATGACTGCCTATAGGTTTTCTACTGGCACATTGGGACATTTGCCGAATTATTAAATGAGCTATTTAAAGACTATTTTCAAGGCAATAAAACCTTGGAATCGTCATATTTAAATAGTTTCAGGTCGCTTTAACAGTCTCATCCAATGTGCATAATCCTTTATATAACTGTTTGGTAAATTTTAAATTAAATTGCATAAAAGAAACTATTTTTCGGAGTGAATCTATATGAATCTATAAATGAATCTATAAATGCAACACATTTCATCATTGAAAAAATTAAACCTTTTTGAGGTATCTATCTATCCATTAATCCTTTGGCATTCACACAACCTGATGGAACCATTATCAAACGAAGATTGGAAATAACATGGTATGGCAAACAGGTAGTGGTACCCAAACAGAGATAAGTGTTGGTTTATGTTTATTTGTTTATCTCCCAGGGGCATTTCAAATTTTGGTAGTTTGAAAAAAAATATTTAATGATCATCTATTTAAAAAATTATATTGGGTTCTTTGTTTTGATTCTTAACTAAATGTGAGCTAAAATAAATCTACAATCTACAATATTTAATGACCATCTTTTTAAAAAAAATTATATTGGGTTCTTTGTTTTGGTTTGGTTCTTAATTGAATGTAAGCTAAAATAAATCTACAATATACAATATTTAAGTTCCAACTTTTAAACACTTGATTATCTGCAGACTACAGACAAAGATGTAATAAAGCTGAATCAAGGGCTGGAGACAGTGCTGGAAATATATCCTGCCCTATATCAAGGTAATTTGATTTGTCTATTCTTAATTCATCAGAAAATGTAATGTGGGCTTGAAAAGACCACCTTTGGCTTGTCCTCACATTCTGTTTTATATGCACATTACCTTGACTCAGCAGGAAATCCCTGAGAGACATAGTGCTTATTCTTTCTCCAAGATAAACGCTATGAAAAACAATAATAATAATAATAATAATAATGATAAATTAGTAGCCTGAGTCCAATCTTACATCAGGAGAAGCAGAAAAAGAATTCTTAACAGTTCTACTTTTTACATTAAAGAACATCCTATCAACTGAAATAAGGGAGTCAAAATGTGTCTATATTGATTGAAATCACACTAAACTGAGCTAGTGTGGTCAAATAGGCCTATAATAGGCCAGATTCTGTAAAATTCTAGCCGGGCCATAAAATTTTAAACCAAACTGGCATAGGATAGGGTCAGGCCGGTACTTGCCCCAAGTCACTAAGAAGTCTCTCATTTCGAAATCAAATTGACCCTTGTCCACAGTGAACTGTCATAATCTTATTTCATCTAATGGCTAGGTGGTCTGTCCACAACAGGCCTCTTTCTGGATCTTTTCATCATATACATAATATTCTATAAATCTAGTATGCCAGAAAGCAATACGACTTGATTTCCTTTCAAAACATCTTAAAACAAGTGTTTTTAAAAAAGCTTGATGTTTGGATAGATAATAATTGTAAAAGACTCCCAACGTTGAATCCACAAACAAAGTTCTAAAGCTAGTAAATTCAAAATGAATAAACTAATACAAAGGGCGTAAACAGAAATAAATCTAGGTGGAGCCGAAATGTGTGCGAAGCGCCAAATTTTGTTTTTTGCCCCCCCCCTAGGAGCTCCTGGGGGGGGGAAATTTGACTTTAAATTCAAAACATTTGGCTTCAGTTTCAGATTTTAAAAGTGTGATAGCTCTGAGTTCTGGGGGGGGAGGGGGCTATGCTCCCTCCATTTTACAGGTCTGGGGGGCACTGCTCCTCTTCCCCCCCTGTATACGCCCTTGACTAATACTGTATCAGGATTTAAAATAATGTGTCAACTCATTGGATTAGTAAATAAATATATTTTTTTTAAAATATGAGATACCACTGCTATTTTTTCTTAAGAGTTCTTAGTGACCACTGAACAGTGAAAATGCCTTTATTCAGATGGTTTCTATACTACAAATTTCCAGCTCCCTTATCCTGATGTCCAAGAAATTGGAACCAATTCTCTATGTGTATTTGACTACAGGTGGTTTTAGTTATAATAATAAGAATCTTAAAAAATCTATCAGGACAAACTCAAGTCCTTTTGGGTAAATAATTTAAATCCAATTTACCAATTATTTTTAAGTATTAACCCATTCATTTTGCATGTTTATATCATATGCTTTAAAAAATACCATTTTAAATAAAAATGGTGAATTTTGTTGTTCAGTGTAAGATGGTTGGTGAAAAATGATAACAATACTGAGGAACTAGCTTCTGCTTGTCTAAGGAACCATTTTTGTCTTACAATTTTAATATGCCCATAGAAATACATAAAATATTCTTCATTTTAAATAACTTAAAAACACCAGAAATATATATAACAAACAAAAAGAAACAACCTTAATTTAAAACCTAGTTAACCAACAATCTAAAGAACTTCTCTGGGAATCCAAAACTTCTAATAAACTGAGGACAAATTTTTCTGCATAACGCTGGAAACTTTCATTTAAAATGGAATAATACAGATCGCAGCCATCTTGGATGTGGGAGAACAGAGAATTTCTTAAAGAGGAAATCAAAAATAAACTTTTCTTAATGCATTTTAATAAAAGATTTTTAAATTAAAATATGTTTAAATTCACCAGTATTTCTTAAACAAATAACGTAAGCAGTTCATTTTCTATATGGATGCATATGGTTTTGTAATCCAAATGAATTCCACATCCTCTATAAGAAGAACTATATATGATGCATTTTTACAATTTAAAAATTAACTAGTAAATTAGAAAAGATAAGAAAAGAAAAGATATTTTGGTGCTTATATTGTTCCAAATTTAACAGATGAAGGTAATTATTTTCCTAATATCTCTTTTTTCAATAGTTCCTTTGGGTTTTCAGAGCTAAAGATTTTGCCACTCAGATTTAAATCCTTGGATTCACATATTTTTGCTGATCCAGATCTAGATCCAGGAATCCAAAATGTTGACATGCCAAGTCCCTATGAAGCACACATAACTGCTATGAAATAATAACAATAAAAATAATCTTAGATTGGTTCCATGATGCTAGCCGCAAGTCATCTCTCAGGTGCTTACCGAGACTACTTAGGTGAAGGGGATAACAACCTTGCCACAAGTGCAGTCTACGCACAAGAAGAGGATATACAGAATCAGCTAGTCTGGGGTGCCAGGTATAGAAAATATAAGTATAGAGATGCCTACAACATTTGTATGCACATGTAAAACTAAAAGAAAAAGTCGAAAGATGACAACAAAGGGAAAAGGAAACAAAGTAAATTAAGATAAAAATATTGCCTGGACAATATGTGGTTAATACAGGTTCCTGGATATAAGAGTTGGATATTACCCAACTCTGGAGGATACCTTTTGGTTAGTTCATGGAATTATAAAAACACATCCCATGCAGGAAGGAATTCGCCAAGTAAGTAAATATTAATGGTTGCAACCTTTAGCTTACCATTACCAACCTTAGGCTTTGATAAGACTTTTTGGACTAACTGTAATAACTTTAAATCTAATCTTAAATTTTCAGTTTAAATGACCAAATATCAATATATTAGGTTCAGGAGTATTTGAGGTCATCTAAAGATATAGTGGTTTGGGAAACTAATAAGTTTGATCAACCTTGGGATGAGGAGGCCCACACAGTGAGTATAGTTAAAAAAAATTTTCTTCAATATTTTAGAACCAGACAATACTTGATCAGAGATGGAATTTAAAGAATTCGAGCCACGGTTTAAATCCGCCAAAACGCGGTTTAAATTAAGCGCCGACTTAAATCTTGAAACATTAGATACAATTTTAAGTGGAACCAACCATATTTAAACCGCGGCTTAAATTTAAACCGCCGCTCAAATTCTTTAAATTCGGCCACTGTTCTCTAAAAATAGATTGAGAGCCAAATTTAGCAAAATGATTCTCATTTTTGCAAATCCAGACCCAAACCAAAATGTGGAACTGGATCAACAAAGAGATATCTTCCCAAACTGTGTGAATGACTTAGTCTTATTCTTACAATCTTGCAGGTATGGAAGGAATTGCTCCTGCAGAAGTTTAGTAGATGGCTGGTAACACCAGGAGAACTGGGATGGGATACAACACTACAAGATATTTGGACTAGGGACCCCATTTTACTTTGACACATATTACCATCCAGGGGTTCAAGAATTGTAAGCAAAACACACAAAAAACACTGAAATTTGTCAACTTGGAATATAGAATAAATTATGGGGTTAAAGAGAGGGATTGCCAGAAGATGAAGGAAGGATAATCATCACTTACAATGATATCCATACAGATACAACATTATTTTATCCAGAGGTAAGGATGAAATGAAAATCAAATGCAGGTATTTTTTCAGACTCAGTCATGCAGATTGTAGATTTTCTGCATTGATCTTCTTTTTTAAAACATCTCTACGAAGTACTTTGTAAAGATTTTAGCCAAAATATCATAATTATTAAGGTATTAAAATATGCAAAATTTTTTTAATACACAGCTTTTGTTCATATTGGACAATCTACATAAAAATATTCTATCGCCCAAGATTTTAATAAAAATTCTGTTGTAAAGAACCTAAAGTGTCAACATTATTCTTAAGGTGTTGGAGAAATGGGGGGATGTAAATGAGCCTGAAGACCTCAGAAGGAAGACAATACACTATTTAAGAAAACCCTAATATTTATCATAATAATCAATCATCATTCCATGAAGATAAAGGCTAAGCCCTACTAAACAAATAACTATTAGTAAAAATTATAATAATTGAGGTCAATCTCTAATCCAAAGTGATAAGGATTAAACGCCCATTTAAAATCGAATGAATTAACTTGTGAATTCAGAAGTATAAGGAATTGGTGGGTAATGGTTAATGGTAACATTAATTTTTCTTTCTGCATTTTCTTTAGTTAATCATTATTAAAAACAAATCTTTAAAAAAAAGATAACCCCTATCACTCTGCAGAAGAAGCATCATGCTCTAGTCACCCTACTGTCAAACGATCACATACAATTTAAGAGATTGATAAAGCAAAGTATTATTTAATCATTAACCTTGAAGAAAATTATCATGCATTGCTTGAATGTGTGATGTTGGTCATACTAGGTATCTAGAGGAAGAAGTGAAGACTGCCCAAAACAACCCTGATTATCAACCATGGAAACCTAACTGTCAACTTACACCAACAGCTTCTGACATCATACTTGGCAGGTTGAAAAAAGTTCAGAATCGTAAATAAAAACAGAGGACTAGAATGTATGAATATAGGAATGAATGCAATCTATCCTGGGGCGATTATTTTATGATTCAGTCCCTTATTCTTCAATATTATCATTTAGGGATGACCTTCAAACTTCATGATAATTTTAAAAATGAACCAAGTTTGGTGCACACATATTCTTATCTGTATTTCTATACTCTGGATTCCTTTAGATGGAGTGGTCTAAGAGAAATGGCAGATGCAGTAAATAGGTAAGAAAACAATCTAAAAATTTGGAGGACTGTTTCCGAAAATAAGATTTATATCTTAAAATTTTAATCCTAATATGAAGATATTCTAAAAACATTTTTAAATAATTCTTTAATAAATAAATAATAAAATAATAAATAAATAAATAAATAAATAAATAAAAATGAATAAATTGAAAATACCCAATTCAAGATAAATCTAATAATTTAAAAATAAAAATTAAAAATTCCTCCAGTACAAGATTGATAACAGATTGATTAAATTGCACAATTTTATGATAACAATAGATAAAAGGGACAATCTAAAGGTACTCCATGATTAGAACACCTGGGCCTTATTTCAGAAATGTGACGGAATGGAGGAGGGGTGGAAGATACTTCAAGTTTATGCACACATTGTCCTTATTTCAGAAATGTGACATAATGCAGGAGGGATGGAAGATATTTCAAGATTATGCACCCATTGTCCTTGTTTCAGAAATGTGATGTAATGCAGGAGGGATGGAAGATACTTCAAGATTATGCACTCATTGTCCTTGTTTCAGAAATGTGAGGGAATAGTGGAGGGATGAAAGATACTTAAAAATCAAGCACATATTGTCCTTGTTATAGAAATGTGACGGAATGGTGGAGAGATGAATGGAAGGATCTTCCATCAACATTTCCTTTGCATGATTTCATCCTCAGTACAGATATAATAGGGGAAAGCATCAGGTATGAAAAATAGTGCTTAAATATTTTTGATTTATATTCATTCTTTTCTTAATACTTTTCATTTTCAAGCCATAATTTTTTTACCTTAAGATTGAATTATTTATTTTCATGTTTAAGATATTTAGGAAAATTGCAGAATGCAGGCAGAAAAATTGGTTGTTTTTCTTTGAATTAAAAATACAATAGTAAAGATAATATAACTTTCCAATTTCTGCTAGTCCTTAACGCATTAGCATTGTTCTAAACAACTTTTAAAGACTTTGATAGGGTTAAAACTGAAGTATCAATCATGATGGTGTATTTTTAGAAGAAATCTCCGACAGGCAAAGAACTTGTATTGAAAACTAATTGGTACAGTCATTATATTAGTGTTTTTTAATAAATAAATCCTTGCACAGAATAATCCACCTGTGTATTAATTTCAATTTGCAATCATTTAATGCATAATGCATTAGGAATTCATCCAAATAGTGTGTATGCTTAGTATACTTGTCAAATCAAATCAAATCATGAATGTTGGGGAAGCTTTAGGCCCCATTTCTCAACCTAGAGTTTCAATTCCTGGATGAGAAATGGGTGTTCAGCCCGAATATGAACTCAATTCTGACTTCTGCAATGTATCTAGTTAAAGGTTAAATTCCAATATTTGGTGGCAAAATCCCAGCAACACGACCAAGTTTGAGCAATGCAACCATTTTTGGCACCCATTCATTCATGAAGGGTCATCATTATGGTAAATATGAATGAAGGGGAGCCCCCAATGCTTTGTTTTGATTCTGCTATGCATTCCTAGGAATATATAGCATAGTGGATGTTATCAAGAGATGCAGTATTGGTTTTGAACTCAAACAATCAACATTAAAACTCTAGTTATCAAATAAATTAATCATTTATAGGTGCTAAAAATGGTTGGAAATTAAAAACTTCTAATTTTTTTTATCAGTCATAAGATAACATGCTCTCCTGTTAAACTTGCGATTTTGTTACACATCTAATTTGTATGAAAAATACCAAATATTTTAAAACAAAATTTGTTAGATGTCATTAAGTATAGTTTTAAATGAGCTTAAAGCAGAATTTTAGGCCAGTAAAGTGAGCAAGGCCCAAAAAACTTGGTTTAAATGGGCAAACAAATTGCAGACTAAACATTGCAATCTGTTTTAAGATAAAGTTTATCCACAGATATATTAAAGTTATGCATTTCCAATGGCAAATTACGTTAAAAAACCCCTAGTTTTGGGCCTGTAAAAACACCAAAATTGAACTTGTAAAAAAACCAAAATTGATCGAAAAGTAAAACATTGAATATTAGAGCAATAAATAAATGTTTTCAAGTACACGGAATTCTCCTTCGCCAAAACCAATTTGGCCAGCATCCATACCATTAATAAGATGTTTAATATCTCACTAGCCACTTGATCATCCCCTGAGTCAATAAAATATAATAACATTCTTCTAAAATAACAAAAGCCTACCTCAAACATCCCACCCAGTGTGAAGTTATCAGCCGCTTGTTCAAGGAACTCAATCAGTCCATTTTCAGTGAAATTCTTTCCAGTGCATATTCCTTCCTCATCCGGACTTACAATATCATCTGGATAATAAAAACAATGGTAGAGGATAAAGACAATCACTTCCAGAGGCTAATTTCTGACTTGAAAAGAGAAAATGTCAAGCTTTGATACAGGAATACAATCTGTTGACCAGACAATGAGGGATAAAACCAAATAGTAGAGGAAAGCTTTAAACTTACACTTAAAGAGTATGAGGGTTGGACCCATCTTCAATTGCTAACCTGAAACTGCAGACTCGTGGATAGCATTAGGTGTTAGCTGAGCAAAGGTAACAGCTCCCTTGGGCATATATTTCCTATCCTCTAGCATATGGAGATACTCGGACACTAAACAAAACAAAGGCATACAAAATATATACAAACTTCCAATTCTCCAACATATCTATGACATATCAATATCTATCCATCTTCAATATGAATATTAAATATCATGCTTTATTATCTGTTAAAAATGATATTTCCATCCTCTGGGGATAAAAGGTAACATGGAATATTGCGAACTGGGATGGCCAAGAAAATCTTTTTTTAAGAGTTAAGACAACATACCTAATGCAGCAGAGTGAATTTTACACATGGCAGCTTCTGCATGGTTTTTATGTTCAATATGCTTGTTTGCCATATTCTCAAGCCATGTCAGTCGCAGGTCAGGGGAAGTCTGGTAACCTAAGAAATTCATCAAGAAATGAAAAAGCTTTCATTTGTAAATTTAGAAAAAACACCAATTTTGATCTGGCTCAAATTGCAAATCTGGCCTTAGGAAGTTTTTTTTAACCGAAGAGATTGATGAAAAATTTACATGAAAGTATTGCATCAGCTATTCCTAGTTAAACTACTTTCCTATAAAAAAAAACACATACAAATAAGGTAAATGGCTTGTAATCTTAAGTTAATAATTTCATTAAAGGGACTTAAAGGATTAATGAAAGGGGGGTATAGGTTGAAACCTGAGAATCTCAGGCATTAAATGATACATATAAAACATGTATCTGAGAAACTGATATAAAACTGTGTCAAATTTATGCAAAAATTCATATATATGCAATTTTGTATAAAAGTTGAAGAATTAAACAGATCATAATTAGCAAATATGCAACCAATCTGGAAACAACGATATCCCACAGGAGCCTGAGAATCTCAGGTTTGCTCCTGTTATAATATTTTAATTTTATTTTGCATTTTGAATAGATACAATTGATAATATAATTACATATAGTCCGTATAACCTCACCAGAGCTTCAGCAAATGGCAGTGCAATATCGTTATCACGTGATATACCCCTTCATTACCTTTTGCAATTCTATACATTAAATCCATGTGCATCTCCGGATCATCCAGGTACTCCTTCATCTTCACCGTGTCAGACAGGATCATGTGCAGGTTAAACACCAAGTCCTAAACAAAGTTCAGGATGGAGATGTGTAATTAACTATTCATGTACCTGGTCAAGAGGAGAGACAGGTTATTTTAAAATTGAAGCGGGATTTTAAATATTCATGAAAAACATATCACAAGATAATTATGAAAATACCAACTAAATCTTAAAATGGCAAACATCAACCCATGAGAAAGAAAGCTAGGACTGTTAAGGGGTGAGCCCTGACTATAAGTGGTAAGCCACGATAAGGAGTGTTCCCAAATTTGAAATCCACTTATTATGTTGTCCTGGCTTGGAACCAGCAGGGACACTGGGACGCGGAACAATAGAGTATACAAATTATTAAGTGATTAAGGCGGCATGAGGAAGGAACATAATATCCTTGAAAGGAATTTATGTCCCTGGTCATGGGTTGAGATAAACTAAATGATTTTGTATAAAGTAATTTCCAAAGTAAACACTGCTGAATTCCTACCTGGACTTGTTCTGGGAATGAGTTGAATGAATCTGAGAGTTCTGAATCTGTCTCAGCGTAGGTTAGAATTGTCTTCAGACTTTTCCTCAGATGTTCCTCATTGAACTTGAAGTTGGAGCTGATCTCTGCCACCAGGGAGCTCAAGGACATCGTCACCTTTTGTAATTTTTTCAATAAATCAATCAATCAGTCAAAGAATTCATAAACTAATTAATTTTTAATTATCCATCCACTCCATCCAATAGTTTTACTTTACCTGCATCTTAACTCTGGCAAAGTTGTTTCCAATTTCAAAGTTTTGTCTCATCAGTAGATACAAGGATGCAGAGGCTTGAGACCTAAAATTTTAGCATAAAATGAAGCAGCAACTGCGTTCAAACCATGAAGATTATCTGTACTGAATTTACAGAAGGGGTTGGAGAACATACAGCAGTCCCGCATACTAAGATGGTTAACTACGTTTTTGAAAGCTCAGAAGACTTACAAATTATTGGGAATCAAATACGATTTTCAAGTTGTCTCTCAATTCCCATGTTTATTGGGACACCTTGTAGGGTAATGTTACATCGTCTACTTCTGACCTACTACAATATCAGATCTATGGTATTATTTTAGGGTTATCTGCGAAGATTAAAACAATTTTTCTGCCGACCGCCGCATGTCCACTAGCCCCTGTAAAACCACGTGCTAGCAGGTCTAAAGTGTAGGAAAGCGGATGATGCGTAGGTCAGAAGTGTAGTATAGCATATGTGCATAGGTCGAAAGATATACTATCCCTTGTAGTTACCTGATTGAAGATATTGAAGACGAGCAGTGTTTAAGTAAACTCTTGCATAGCGCGGCACAGTGCTCAGTGGTTTCATCAAACAGAAGATTTGGATATTTAGTAACTAAATAAACAATCATATTTTCTTTGTTTAATTGTCGCTACAAGACTGAATTTTGGGACAAAAGGGGGGACACCATTTTTCTTCAATGAGCTCTTTTTTTGTGTGTGAGAAGTTTAGATAAATAAAGGGCTGTTATACAGGGTACCCACAAAGGATGAGACTGTAAAGACTACTCAAACTTTTTAATTTGACAATCCAAAGTTTGAATTAAGTCTTCTGCCTTGAATGTGGGCTTTAAATGGCATATTTGTTGATTTAGCAAAGAAAGAAACAAGTTTAACAGATGCAGGAAATCACGAATAAAAGAAAACAGACTGTAAAATTCCGCACAATCGTCTCTGAAGTCTCATCCTTTGTGGGTAACCCTGTATATATTGATGTGCATTAAGTTGGTTCGTTTGTGCATATATTTACTTTATGGCTCTAAATTTGGCAAAATGTAAAAAGAGCAAATTTTTTCACAATTCTTTTTTCTACACATTTGCTCTTGTATGCCAAACTTTGACCCTGACAGAAAACGATCCAAGATATCGTTTTTTCCATTTTTTAGGGTAAAAATTTTAAAAATTATTGAAAAATATTGGAAAAAGGAAGAATTGATATTGGTTGTATCCCTAAAGATCGTTGTATAGAGAATAGGTGTTGGAGAAGGTTGGTTGACTGGTTTGTGTTAAGAGCGTGAAGGATTACACGCAATACTGATGCAAGAAGGGTATGAGACTGATCAGTCTGACTCACAACCTAAATATGTTTACGATTAACAATCGACAAAAATAAGTTTTAAAAAAGGTATCCTGGCATACCGAAAAAAAATTAATTTTCTCTTCTACAAGAGGAAATCAAGACAAAGCCACCTTTAATAATAACCGCCAATAAACGGACATAAATTATAATTATAAAACTATGAAATAACAATAATAAGTGTAAAATAAAAAAAACAGTGTTTTTTTTTTAAATTATTAAAGAGGTTGTTGACCAATTTTTAAATACACATAATAATTCTTGAAATTGGAAACACAAGCAAGCATATCCTACCGCTGTAAGAATCCACAAAATTTACGTTTTTTAAATGTTAATGTTAAAGTAAACTAATTTAGTTTTTAATAATAAAAATAAATTGATCAAAAATCACGCACTAAATCTGGATTTTAAGAGAAGAAATTTCAGTTTATTTTGAATTCATGAAGTAAGACGACATCCGTATAAAATGGCGGCTCCTAGTCTCGCAATGGTTTCTGGTATACCTGTTCTACGACAGCTAGAGTGTCTAGTACAACCAGACTAATCTCTGTTGACAGGTTTCCGTCAATTATAAGATCCAGATCTGTGTCCCACACTGAAATACAAAAGTAAAATAACCGCTAAAACAACTTTTAGATTGACCAACAACTAAAATATATATAACTCAGGTCACTGCAGGTCAGGTTCCCATATAAATAATTTTGTCGATTTAAACTTCCCATGGGTTACTCTAAAGAAAGATTTCAAATTATATTAAAATTAAATATTTGTGTAAACCATTAAATGATTTGAATATTCCGACTTTTTCCTGAATTAGATTAAATGTACTTATATTCGGTAAATATTAAAAGTAAGTTCAAGATTAGAAAATCAACCTTGTGGGGCTCTGGCGGCTTCAAGAGTATCTGGGGGTACTCGTGTACTCCCTCTGTACTGTACTGTACTGTACCTTGTGGTGTTCTGGCGGCATCTAGAGTATCTGGGGGTACTCGTGTACTCCCACTGTACTGTACTGCGCTGCCGCTAGCAGAGTAAGAGTGTCTATTCCATCTTTTCCCATCGGGGTTCGGAGACAAGGGAGCAGGACCTAAGGGGACATTAATCTTATAAAACATGATTTGCATAAGATTAAGAAACACCATACAAACGAATTGAGTCTTTGCCGCAAACTCGAATCCTCTCAGCTCTTTTTATATCATGCAACCAGATGGAGTGAACCATTGATATTTTAAACTTTGTTTATTATTTCTGACATAATCCATAGTTTAAAAAATACCTAAGATCTACTACATTGGGTTGCAAAGATACAGGGATTAGGAAATCGGAGTTTGTGACAAAGACTCACTCAAAGTTTGTTACATTGGTAAAATAAGACATTAACGCAGTAGGTTTCAGGCAGGTTGGTTTAAAATCCAAGCGTTTATTCTGAAGTGAGAAGCATGTGTTGGTAGACAAAATCATAAAATTTAAACAGACTCCAACTTTCCGAAGTATTGTGCAATGTGCAAGGTGCTTATCTGCAATAGTTTTGCGATCAAATTTGCAAACATGCTGAAAAAGGATATGACCAGCTTGCAAATTTTGTAGTTCCTACTCTTATAGCATGAGTGTATATTATTTTTGTGAAAATTGGAATTTCAAAGATTGATTGATGTATGCTTTATTATCTTCTTCAATCAATCCTTTAACAAGCGAGACAAAAGTATAGTTAAGGAATCCCGTGAATGTACTAAAAATAAATACTATCTTTTCAAGCAGAGGTAATGTTATTTTCAATATAATAATAATAACAGCCATTCAACCACGAAATCCAGGGAAACTTAGTTAAACTGTAGTGAGTGAATGTCAAGGAATTGAGTCTTTGCCACAAACTCTGATATTAAAATCACTATATCTTTGTCACCCAATGTCGTAGACCTTAGATATTTCAAACTATGAGTTAAGTTAGATAAAATAAATTTAAGTTTTAAATATCAAAGGTTTACACCATCAGGTTTCAACGATATAGAAATAAGAAAAGTTTGAGGCAAAGACTTGAAATTCCTTTATTATATGTTTTCAAATTTTACGATAATTACGACTTTCTCAATCTAAATATCTTAGGCCTTAGACATCATTAAAAAAAGTACCACACATAGCGAATTAAGATGCAACCCTATCCTTTAACGAATATCTCAGTTATTTTTTTTAAAATTATTAATTTTTATATATCAGTCACGGGTGCGATAATTTAAAACATCTCTTTTATAACTTCAGTCGTTACGCCAGTTATCGGGCTTGTTTTTTTGTTTTTTGATTCCGTAGGGAATATCATTCCATGTATTAATAACTCTTGAAATAAAAAAGTTTCTTTGTATTTCGGTGTGAACAACAGGGAACTTCAGATTTAAAGGATTTACAGTCCTTTTAAGGGCTGAGTGCTGCGGCTAGGAAAGTGCTTAAAATCTAATTGAACGCATGCAGAACTGCTTCTGTCGTTTAGAAGAAAAAAGAACGATGGACAAACGATTTGGATCGTTCAGAGAAATAAAAAAATTATCGTTTTTTAAAATCGAACCAACAAAACAAATAAGAAGATTTAAAATCATTACAACGATCTTGAAAAACCGATCGTTTTCTACTGAACAAACGATTTATTAACAAACTTTAAAAAAAACAATAGTTTTTTAAGAACGAATGATTTTATTAATTGAACGATTTTTCTCAACGAACGATTTTACTGAACAATCGTTCAGTGAGAATGAACGATATTTTTGAAAACAAACGATATTTTTGAAAACGAACAAAATCACGAACGATGAACGAACGAAGTAAAAAAAGCCTCTAAGGAGTTGGCAGCTCTGATTTTATGAAAACCTGTATAGAAGAGTGAGTTCCCAACAGTAATAGTTGGATTGCTAGGACTTACAAGTTCTCCCTGTAAAGCTGCTGTGGAACAAACCCATATTATCAATCGTCAATTGTAAAAAATTAGATTTTTTTGTTGTGCTCCACTTTTATATCTAATATTTTCTAAAATTCAATACAGTGCCAATGGCTATTATAAAAATTTTAGTAAAAAAAGGATAGCGATTAGGAGCTCCTAAAATCCATAGAGATATTTTGAGCAACTTTTTTGTCATTTGTTGGATCAATTCTAGTTTTAATCGATTTTTGAGCAACTTTTTGTCATTTGTTAGATCAATTCTTGTTTTAATCAATTTTTGAGCAACTTTTTGTTATTTGATGGATCAATTCTTGTTTTAATCAATTTTTGAGCAACTTTTTGTTATTTGATAGATCAATTCTTGTTTTAATCAATTTTTGAGCAACTTTTTGTCATTTGATAGATCAATTCTTGTTTTAATCAATTTTTGAGCAACTTTTTGTCATTTGATAGATCAATTCTTGTTTTAATCAATTTTTGAGCAACTTTTTGTCATTTGTTAGATCAATTCTTGTTTGATTCACGTTAGGCATTTCATTCCCTATTCAATATTTTTATCAAAGTATAAAATAAAATATTAAATTTTTCATAAATCTTTGAAATTGCTTAAAAAACCCTCATAAGTTTTTCAAAAATAAAAACATTCTCCTTCCAAAATTTTATAATTTACCTTTTCTGGAGCCCCGGCTCATCATTTCCTTAGCATGACTTCGACCCAAGATCATATCCTTAAAATAAAAAATAAATTTCAACAATACTTTCCCGGCATTTCCCGCACGGCCATACCAAATGTTGTTCACAAGAATTAAAATATCAAAGTAAAATAAAAGTATTTTACCTCTAAATGATTTTTAACTTCTGAAGACGCTTTCCTGGATTAAACTTAGTATTTTGTATTGTAAAAAATCCTAGATCAGCGCTGCAAAATTATATTTATCATAGACTTTTTTTTTGTCAATTTCCAATGATCACTGATCATCTAGTTTTAGATTGGAATCTTAATCAAAAAAAACATGCATATACACTATACAGAATTACCAGAATGGGACTTTGATGCAGTGTTTCGGATCCGTATCATTTTGATGCGGATCCGGATCCGCGGATTTGTATCCGTGATGATGGATCCGGATCCTGACTCTGATACGGATCCGGATCCGACCAAATGATACGGATCCGACCGGATCCGGATCCGAAACGCTGCTTTGATGATAAAAAAACTCTTTATAAATGATAAACTGATAAATGTGATTTTCTGCCTGAAATGAAGTTTTTAGTTAATGTATTTAATGAAAAGCAAAAACATAAATTAACAGTTTTAATTTGGCAGGTTGTAAAAACATTCTATTAAGTTCGTCTCAAATATTATTCTTGAACATTGAACTATGCATGAAATAAATTTCTTTTGTTAGTTCTAGAAAAGTATTATTTTTTTTTTAAATTATACTAATCATTCCTGAAGCTGTTTTGTGGTCCAACTTTCCTGTAATGTCTCTTACCCTGAAAATAAGAAGTTTAAAAAAGAATATCTTTTTATTAAATTAAATTTGCAGTGCACAAATGTTGAATACGTTAAATCATTTATCTTATTATGGAAGTAAATAAATTGTGCAAGCTTTAACATTTATCAATCTTATTATTGAAATAAATAAATTGTGCAAGCTTTAACATTTATCTTATTATTGAAGTGAATAAATTGTGCAAGCTTTAACATTTATCAATGAAGTAAATGAACTGCATACGGTGAGAACCAGAAAACTCAGGAATAGGAAGAAGACTTTAAGACGTAAGTTATGACTTTAAATAGCAAATTGAACATAAAGCACAGCAATTATGAATTTTAAACAGACCCATTTCACCTAATAAAAAAATTAATAAATAACCAGTAAAATTTTTTACTTTGTAAAAACATCAAATATTATTTTTAAGGTTTTCTCACGATCAATAGGAAAGCTTAGAATAATAAAATAATTTTGATTTACAATTAATGATAAATAAATAAATTTTTTATTTTGTTTTTTTTTAACTGATTTAGATTAAATTACTAAAATAAGGTAAAGTGGATGCATGCATAATAATAAGAAAGGTTGCTAATTATGAATAATCCCCAGATAAAGCCTTCATCATCCTCAAACCAACCCTTTAAGTTGAAAAATGTGTGCAAGCAAGGGAGATAAGGATGAAGTTGGGCATGCGAGGATGCAGAAATGAAATGAATGACCCTACCCAGGAAAACATTCATTTCTGGGACACTGCACAAACAAATTTACATTATCAAAATTAAAAAGTTTGAAAATCCCTATCAGCTAAAAAAAAATTGCAACCCAGCCAGAACATAAAAATTATCTAAACAAAAATATGTGAAAAACAGACTATTATGCCATTTTGATATACCAAGACCTTGACCTACCTCTTCTTTCATAATAAACTTTTTCTCAGGAGTGGTCGGCGTGTTTTCCTGATTTTTCAAGTTCAATGGAAAAAGGAAACCAAGAACATTTAGATGGGGGCGGGGAGGGGGGCTAATATTTTGTTTGAGGAAAGTATTGAAACAATTTAGATTTCGGTAGCCCTTCATAACAAAATAAATTGGAATCCAGTTTCCCCAAAATATTTATTATCGTTTATATTTTTACCATTTTGTAGAAATAAAAATGTGGTGAAAATGATACTTTAATTTTGGATTAAGTAGCTCATGCCTTTAAAAACTGATGAAAAAAAAATAGGAAATTCCATTGAACTGAATAGTATGCAAGCCTTAGAGGAATCATAGATATTGTAGCAATGACTGAAAGGAAAGATATCTAGCGGAGAGGCAGAACCACTTAATTTAATCAACTTTCTTGGAAACAACTAGGATAGTTTAAAAAGAATAAGGGCAAAAGTGGCATAAGCTGGAAACTTTTGTGTTGTATACGCTTAATCTCTTTATCCATATCTAATGTGGCATTTTTGGATATCCATCAAGATTCCGACCAATGAGGGTTTTCTCATGGGTTGCGCAAACGACGCTCTGATGAATTTTATTGAATTATTTTATTGGTTGAATTTTATACACTTTCTAGAATACCAAATAAGGATTAAATTAATCTGCAGATTAACTCAAAAAAGAATATCAAGCATGATCTCGATATCTACAATACACAAGTTTCCAGCTATGGATATATATTTTTCTTTCACCTACAATTTTCAACATTTTAACATTTTTTGATTTCAACATTTAAACAGTTAGATTAAAACCAAATCTCCAAACTTACAGGGGGGGGGGATGGTGGTTCTGGCAAAAATATATCACAGAAATATAAATAAACAACAATGAAACATCCAAGAAAGACTAATCACCAAAATCCTTGTCTTCCCTACATGCAGCATAAACAAGATTAAAAGAGTTTAGATATTTTTTTTTGAGGTGAGATTTTACAATTATGCACTTCTTAAAAAAAGTATTACAAAAAGAGTATAATTGATAAGAGGCCAAAGTTAAAGAATTTAAACCGCATCGCTAAACCACCAATAACCGGTTCCAATTGAGCACTCTGGACCAAATCTCGAAACACTTATTAAAGTTTCCAGCTAAAACAAAAATGTTTGAACCGCATCTAATTCTTTAAATTTGGCCAAAGATTAGAAAAAATATCCAAAGAAAGTGAGAATTCTATTTTTTCAAGATAAACCCGATTAAAGAGAGTATACTTATTAGTTTAGTTTGGGTTGATATCCACTTATTAGTCCAACTTTCATCTAAAGTCAATATAAAAAAAGAAGGCGATTGTTAATTAATATAGTGTTTTGTCCTTCCAAGCTCCTCTATGGTTTAGTAGAAGATGATAGGGGGAAAAAGACAACTTTCACCATACTTTACAAAACAAGAGAAAGGAAAAATTTTGAATTTAGACTTACCCTGTACTGAAATGAAGACACAGTTAATCTTAGCACCTCACACAGAGACATAAGTCTTTCCCCTTAATAGAGATTTGATGTTAAGATATGATAGTTTAGGTCTCAAGTTCATGAAGTTCATGAAGATGTTTGATATACCTATTCTGATAACAGTTTCTCTATTGAAACTTCTTGACAGAAAATGTCTTAGGAGCAACACCTGGTCATTCTGATCCCAAGGGGTAAAGAACATCTGGTTTTTAATTTACCTGGAAGTACATCTAACAAGTCCAAGTTCTTTGCTAAACTGGTAATTCTAACCCAAACGCTAACCTGGCTATTCTGACTATTTCTCCAGAACGGCACCTATTTGTTCATAACAAATCTTACCTGGAAGTTCTCTTCACTTAACTGGTAATTCTAATCCAAATTCTAACCTGGCATTTCTGACTATTTTTCCAGAACAGTACCTATTTGTTCATAACAAATCTTACCTAGAAGTTCTCTTCACTAAACTGGTAATTCTAACCCAAATTCTAACCTGGCAATTCTGACTATTTCTCCAGAACAGTATCTATTTGTTCATAACGAATCTTACCTGGAAGTTCTCTTTACTTAGCTGGTAATTCTAACCCAAATTCTAACCTGGCAATACTGACCATTTCTCCAGAACAGTACCCATTTGTTCTTAACGAATCTTACCTGGAAGTTCTATTCACTTAGCTGGTAATTCTAACCCAAATTCTAACCTGGCAATTCTGACTATTTTTCCAGAACAGTACCCATTTGTTCTTAGCGAATCTTACCACAAAGTTCTAACTGATCAGAATATCTGGAACCAAAATTGAAGATTTAAAGAGGTCACTGAACTCTCTACCGGGGTTTAAATTTCAGCCGGCAGTAGGTAGTTTAGTAAACTAGCTCAAATTAATTAAATTTAGTTGGCCCCTGGTCTCTTAACTTACATAACAGTTCTCAGTTCTGACTTAATGAAACATCTTTAAAAACTTACCTGGCAGTTCTGACCACCATTGACGAAGTACGCCTGGTTCCACATTTTTCACCACCCAAAGAAAGCAGGCTAAAAGGTGCCTACTGGTATCCTCAGCTAGATTACACTTGGCAGGCTTCTAAATTAGTAGTCTTCTATAATCAAGAACATAACCATAAAAAAGTGGAATCCTCTTTTGTAAAAGGAATAACAATTGTCTAACTACACATGTTTAAACCAGCTCAATGTCTCCTTATTGTAGCAGATTTACTATCAACTGCCTATTCTACTTCAGGTTAATACCCTTCAGTTCTGTACTATTAAATTACATAGTATTTGTGACTGGATAGGATGGGGAATGGGCATATGGATATAAAACTGCATGGCAATCAAGGCAAGAACCAGGACTGGGATGGGGGCCGGGGAGTTGATATCTCATAATTTCCATCAACAGTAACTGCGTCCATCTAGTTACCTGCTGGCTTTGAGGTTCCCTCATATTCTCTACTGTACCAAACATGGCACTGCCAGCTATTTGCTGAGCTGTAATCTGATCTATGATTGGGGTGGTAACTTCATCTCTGTTAAATAAACTATAATCAATATCATTCTGGGAGTAAACATGTGAGTCTTTCCCCATACTCTGATAAACTAGTCCATCAAAAACAGCTAAAACCAATGAGAGTTTGATTAAAATTAACTGATTTCTCATTGGTCTAATCTTTACCCGAACAGTTAATCCCCTGTAGAGAATCAAAAGATTAAAGCTTGTTTCATCCCTTCAAAAGTTCACAGATCATTCGTCATTTAAAATGAACTTATTATAGTAAACCTGCTGTTGTATAGCTCTGTAGCTCCATGCAAACATCCAACATTATCAATAATAATACCTAAAAATATCAATTTATTTGTAAAGAAATGAAATTTTAAGTTGAAGTAACAAAAAGAGAATAATAAATTCATTCAATATTTTAACTTGAGCTAATGGCAGTGCTTAGGATCCAGATCCCTTAGATCAGCAACATTTTGTCTTCCTGGATCCGGATCCAAGCAGCAAAAATTGTTGAAGAAAGAGAGAATATTAAAAAAATTTCCGATCCGGATCCATTTTTTCCAGTTTGGATCCAGGATCCAGATCCAGATCCATATCAAAATTATATGGATCCTGTACTGGCAAATGATATTAAAGTTCAGTTATAGATGAAGTATAAATGATGGAATCATAATAATAATAATATCTTTTTTTGCAAATCCAGAAAATACTAAATTAAAAATGAAAGTAATACCAACAAGGGGTAGATAGAGGTTTGCCACACGGGCCTTACAATCCATATCACTGTATCTAAAAGGAAGATAATTTTTAAAAAAATTTTGGATGACAAATAATTTTCAAATATTTCAGTTGATTTTTCATAATGGATCTTTCTGATATAAAGCCAAGTTCATTATGAATATGTAACAGTAAGCACTTGAACTATTTGACAGAAATTTATCTGTGAAATTCACTGTTCCTTACCTGGGATCTAAATCGTGACAAGTTAGAAGGTTTCTGAGAAGCGCAACAGATTTACTATGTACGTCCCCATTATCCTAAAATGGTGACAGTGATAATTTCAATAGTAACAATAATTTTGAAAAAACAACAACATGGACAGACAATAGTGGAATTTATGACATCAATGAAATACAATATCTTTTTAATCAAAGACAAAATTAAAAGCAATGGCAATAATTATACCAGCCAAGATAAAATTGCCAACTTTGACATCAACAACAGCAACAAAGGTATCAATGACAACAATGCCAATAAGCAATGGCATCAACTCAACAAGGACCCCGATGACATCAATGACAACATCTATGAAAGTTGAAAACACAATATAAAAATAGCAAGAACAAGAATAGAATTCTTTATGGTTTTTTTTATTAAATAAAGTTAAACACATTAATAAATAATGAACACTTTTTTTAAAATTGTTTAACATCAACAGACCAGCTTCATTTGGAAACTGTTTTGCCTGGCAATCTAAACATTTCCTATAAAAGCCAACCCACCTAAACCTGGCTAACAACATTTCTGCTGTTATATCGAGTTATCCAATAAAAAAATATGGAAAAGTGGTCCTTAGAATTCAGGAGTAATGATCGGACATTCAAACAAACATTCAGACAGACGAGTAATCAGAGATTACTATGATATATATATATTACCTGGTCTAGAGCATTGTATAAATTAGTTAACCCGAGCCCAACAAGGAAATGCTGTCGACGGAACTCTGTGCTTAATTCTGCCCACGAAGACCTGCAAAAAAATAAAATAAAGAAAAATTATAAATTGTCTTAGATCTTTAATGTCTAAATACCGTTCCAAAAAAGGTTCTTCAACTTATAAGCTTTCCAAAATGTTGGTCTACTTTTTAAATCTTTACAATTTTAAATAAGATCTCAGTTCTTATAGAACACAATGGGTAATTTTATCAAGGGAGACCACATGTAACTCCTGCAAGAAAATTTAAATATTTAGAGGAATTGGAAATCCCTACCCCCCCCCCCTGCTCCCCTGTTAACCGAAAACCAATTCACCAAAGAACCTTTAAAAATAGCGTGAACATTCTTATAACAAGAAGAAAAAAAAATATTTTCACAAAGGGGAATTGAAGAAAACATACATCTCCATATTACCTGTCCCCCATCATAGTAGAAACAAGAGAGGCTGCACTGTCAATAGATCTCAAGGATGGAGTTGGAGATGAGGAACCTACAAGTTTTAAGGGACTACAGACATAATTTCAAGAGACTCTTGATTTATTGTATAGTGCCCTCAAAGCTTTATCCAATTCATTATTTGAAAATTAATTTCTTTATAAACTGACTTGCTCGTTTCTGTATCAGAACCAATAAAGAAAATGGTTAAAATTTGATACTTTAAATTAACAAAATTTTTTATCAAATAAAGGTTCAAAGGGTACAGTTGATAATTGGGCATGTCTTTCAAAATTTAAAAGATATATAGTACCCCTCAGATTTTAGTATTTGATTTATCTGATATGTTTTTGAAAATGCTCAGAGCTGAAAACTTTAGAATGGGATATCCTTAATCCTGATCATTTAATTAATCTGGAGATTAATAACAAGAGGAGAACAAGCCTTATTTTATCTGGAGATTCAGAAAAAGAATAGATCAATCATTGATTTCAATATCCACCATTCTAAAGTTTTCAGCTCAGGGCACATTTTCAGACATATATCAAATTATCAATAATAAATAACAAAATCCTAATAGAAAGACACAGAAAAAACATTTCATTGTTTACGGGTTTGTATTGTAGTACAAGAGCAAATTTATTACCAGTTTCTGTATTTCTAACAGAACTATGTAGAAATTTGTTTTGAGCTTTTGGAAAATAATAATAACTTCTGTAAATAATTCCCAAAAAATTATTTGGAAACATAAAGTAAGAACCAGAAATCTTGGTAATAGGAAGTCGACTTTTAGACTCAAGTTATGTCTTTCATCAGTAGTCCAATGAAAATAAGACACAGCAACTGTGCAGTTTAAATCAATTTTCCTTGTAACAACATCAGTATTATTCAATGTCGTCTTTATATTTTAAAGTTTTCACTGTAGAATATATTTAGATAAGAAAAAAGTATATATTCCTGTTACCTGATGTAAGATCACTGGGTCCATACTGAGGCAAGTTTAAAGGTATAAAGTGTTCATGGCTACAGATGATTCTCAGGAACTCAATCTGGAGTTCCCAAAGAGGAACTGTGTTCTCAGGATCATCAGCAACTTTAGCAGACACCTCCTAAACATCAGTCATGTTAACAACGATGTATATCTCTTCTTTTCAGTTTTTATCCCCCAAAAAAGGCCAAGAATCTTTTTTGTATGTTTTAATCCCCCTCTTCTGTAAAATTTCTTAAAATTAAAAAAAATCTAGAAATACAGGGTGTCACAGTAAACATGTGAATTCAGTGACAATTTTTATATACTCTTTTTAAATGATGTATTGATTTAGTATGGTGATGTCTACTAGGAAAGCTGTAATCCGTCTGCTAGATTAAAAAAATTTGTTTGTTTATGTTTTGATTGCATACTGTTGTACTTAGTAAAATGATAAATTCCCGTATATGAAGACAGTACAGTTGTTCTTTTTCAGCGTTATCTTGCAGAATGTCATAACATGTTTAGCAGAATAACAAAAAAGTCTGTTGCCCTTAACATAAAATATACTCTAGCAGACATAATTTTATTTTGACCAATGAAATTAGGTAGCAAGTACACACATGACAAATTTAGGTTTAAAATTAACCTTAAAATTTTCTTGGAAAATGAAAGTTTAGGATTAGTCAATTTCGATTTTGTCTTTTAATTCCCATGTATATTGGGACACCCTGTACCTTCATGTAAGTTCTGATCAAAGAAAAGACGAATCCTCGATCCATTACAGACAGAAGATCATGAAGAAAGAATCCCAGACAGGCGTTCAGCTGTTCTGTCTTCTTTTCATCCTTAACAATAAAGTGATATGAAATGCACAATCAGTTTGTTTCAAATGGATAAATTAAAAAAGAAAAAACAATTAACCGGATTTCTTTCAAGACAGATTAAATAGAATGGATCTCCATAACTTCAAAGATATTTGTTTGTAAAACAGATGTAATATAATGTTTGTATTGTGTATGATACCTTTTTATACTTTCTGATGATGTCACTTGTAAGAGAAGAGACCATGTTGAGGATATCATCATGAAATTGCTCAGAAAACCGATGTTTTCTAGGAGCTCCCAGAGTTCCAGTAGTTGCTAAGTGTTCAACCATGGCCTGATTATCAAAAAAAACATTGTATTCGAGAATAGAGAAATAAAAATTAATGCAGACATGAAATATAAATTCTGATTCTGCTTTTCATAATCTATAACTTTTTTATGAATATTCGGAAAGCCTCTGGGCATTCCTGAATTAGTTTTTAGTAAATGTTTCTAAATCCAATTTATTATGAAATTTTAATAATTACTTCTCTAAAAGTCTACATAAAGAAAAACCCATATTTTACTTTTCCCAAAGAAACTTGATTAATGTGATTGTAAACAATGTTAAGATTGGGAAATAAAAGATCTAAAAATAATTTTTGTTGAAAAAAATACCTTGATCATTAGTTCAAAAAAGAACCAACTATTTTCTAAAGCTGAATTCCTAGCAGAATCCTTAGAAAGAGTAAGTTGTAGGGCAAGCTGTTCATGAAGTAGTTTCCCTTGAACTGCAATCCCCATTGGGTTGCCAAGATCACCTTGGGAAATAAAATTAGCACACAAGAAAATTAATAAAGAGTGATCACTGAATATAACGTTTTTGAAAAATAAATTTACCTCTTTCTACTTCTAAAATATAATGTTTAATTCTAAAATCTAATTAATTAAATAACAAACAAGACAACATGAAATAATTTTTTTTATTTTTGTTAAAACGAGATAACATGTTGTAATTAGATACATTCAAGTTGGATATTTAGTAGTAAAAGACGAAGACATAAATCACAATCCCACATCATTCTCTCCTCTGTACAATCACATTCAGATCGTGTTAGCTGTACCAGGAACTTTTTAACCTCAGAAGAACAATGGCTAAAGTCTGAAAATAAAAAAATGTGTTAAATCCAAGGAGTATGAAATAAAAGGGAAATAAAACAGACGCAGGCCACCCTACCATATGATTTTACATACTTTGCAAACGGTACTCCATTTGTATAAGAAATATTTGTCTGGTGAACAATTACCGTACTTACAATAACTTTATTCTGAATATTTCTTATACAAATGGAGTACCGTCTGCAAAGCATGTATAATCATATGGTAGGGCGGGCCACGTCAGTTGTAATTCCCTTCTATTTCATACTCCTTGGTTGAATCCTCCCCCCCCCCCTCTACTGTCAAAGGACAATGCCATTGCCCAGTGTGTATACAATTCCTAGTAAGGTAGCTAGATAAATAGTCTTGAGAGGTTGCTTTTTCATAAGCAGAGGGGTCTACTCCACACTTTGTAATAACTAACCAGATATTGAGTTGATAAAATTAAGCATGTTTGTACATTTGTTGTTGTTTACATGTTAAAAAAAATATATACAATGATTTGGAACTTACACTGAAAAAATTCATGTTTGGAGTAAACTTTGCTCATAAAAAGTAGGAAGAAAATCATAATTTGAAAACTTGTATTTACCTTTTTCAGATGAACTTGAGTTAGATTTGTCTTGTCCAGACAAATTTTCCATAGCCCCTGGATTTTCTGACCATTTCAATGCATTTAATTTGGTTTATATAAATATATCAATAAGTTTAACTCTAAAAAGAATATTTGTTAAGACCAATTTTGCAGTGATTGCCTTCTGGCATATTTGGTGCAACTTCCTCTTCGGTTTGTATTTCTGAGGTTAAGCTGTAATTGGTTGTAGTGCAAGAGCAAATAAATAAATGATGAATTCAAGAGAATTTGTTGATGACATTTTCCCAAAATTAAGTTTTATTCCCCCTGAAGCATGATATAGTTTTTACTGATAGTAAAAATGTACAGGGTTTCCAACTAAGGATTGAGGCAAAGGACGTCAACCAAAACCTTGCTTAATGGTTCATAGTGAGATGTTTTTAGATATCTCATTTACCAGTACATAAAATTCTTTGGAAAAGAATAAACCAATAAAAAATTACAGGAATCATGAAGTAAAATAAAATTATTGAACTTTGAAAAGCTGTCTCTTAAGTCTCATCTTAAGTGGGCAACAAAAACCTAAATATTATTTAACCCTTTAAAAATAAAAGGAATAACAATAATTTATCTGGAAAGGGAGCTGGGAGGAGAGGAGCAGTATGACTTTTCAAATGGTTTAGTGAAATAAATTTAAGTCCCAAAAGCTAAGCTACAAGTTCCAATTATAACCTTGCTGGTTCTTCCAATAAAGCAGGCTCATCAGAATTGTTTATCAATATCTTAACATGCTGAAGTCTGGAATCCTCTCTTATCCTTTTTCTTAAAGTCATCAAAAATGACTAATTTATAAAATTTGTGAACTGTCTCAATTTGATTTGTATCTTAGTCATGGGCTTGGAAGCATAATCAGCATCCCTCAAGCTTTTGACATTTCAAATATTCCCAGTAATCTTCATTTCTTGAGCACAAAAACTAGACGTTACCCCCAACTTAATTATTCTAATGTGCCTTTTTGCCATCAATCCTGGTTTAAATTAGTTTTGTTATTTCTATTTTTCGATTTATATCTAATGTTGATTAAGACTGAATTTTAGGTTTCGAGTTTTGGAATTCAAATTTTTATGCTTTTGTTTTAGTCTCATGTGGGTAACCTTTCTTTGGTCCTGGAAATTAATATACTTAAAAAAAAGTTTTATAAAACAGTCTTAAGTATTTTTTTTTTGATTTCCTCAGTGCCATGATGCCAACAGATATACCCCAGAGGAACAGGCTTGTAAAAATCAATATGAAATATCCCTGAAAGAAAACAAACAGTCATCTTTATTTTCCCATTATTAAATTATTAGAAAGTAGATATGTTATCAGGTAACTCTCCAATCTCCATTTATAAAATAGCAAATTTTAATTTCATTAGTATTCTTTACAGTGATCATCAATGTTGGGCAAATTTATTATTTTCGACAGAAAATTTAATGCCATGAAAATAAATTACTGTTAAAAATTGAAAATGCTATTCTTTAAATGTAAGATCCCCTAAAATTATGCTGGTAAGGAATATAAATTAATCTTTAAAAAGGTTGAAAATTCTCACCTCAGGTCTTGCTGTAGTTTTATATATGGTAAATATTCCAAGAGCATAAACTTGAAGAACAACAAACAGACTGGAGATAATGTAGTTAATAAGAATAAATTTCCTTGAGTACCTGTATTTAGAGATAGGTACGTTTTTCTAATTTCATTAATCGTTTGTTGATGACCAATTTTGTTAGTTTTTTTTTTCAATCGTTTGAAATAAATTTAGTTCTTTGGTTCAATCATTCAGTAAAATTATTCGTTCAGTAAAAAAACGATAGTTTATTAAAAAGTTTGTTCAAAAATACTGTTCATTCATTAAAAAAATGATTGTACATTTTTTTCATCTTGTAAAAAACGAAAGTTTTTTCAAGTTTGGTCAAATGATTTAAAATCATTGGATTTTGGATTTTTTTTTTCATTTTGAACAATGGTCAAAGTTGTTTGTCCATCATTCGTCTTTATTCAAACAACACCATCAAACATACATGCAAAATTTTGTTCTTTCTTTAAAATGATGCCCATCTCTACCCATATGCAATTAAAGTTAGATTACAGACCATCATGATAAAGTTGAGAGCTTCAGCATAGATGATTAGCAGTGTTCCTTTCATATTAATGCAATACTTGGTTCAAGTTTCAAGTCAATTTTCAAGCATATAAAACTGTAAATCTATTCTGTCTGCCTAAATGCCCCCCCTTACACTGTGCACAGTACAAGCAAAATTAAGGGTTAAAATATTCTCTTTTTAAATTCGAAAACTGGATTGCTTTCCTGTAAAAACTTGGAGAAATACACAGACGTTTCTCTCTTTTGGTAGTTCTTCAGAGTAGGCATCTGTATCAAATATCTGATTGCAAAATTGATCACTTATTTTCACCAGCAATTACATCATACTGCACTAGGGTTTCAAGCAAAATGCAAATATTGTTGCAAAATTGAGATATATTTTCTCCTCCTCAAAATTCTGCATTGTTTTCCCCTTCTTTAGCAAAATTGATTTGAGCAAAAAAACGCAAACTTTTAAGATAAAGTTTGCAAAATTTCGCATTTTTTTACAAGTTTTCTTTTGCTGGAAACCCTATACTGGACGCTGGTACAGGATATAAGCGTTTATATGTATTTCAAACCAAATTACCTATAAAAATATTCACTTTGCTTGTCTATCAGTATTTCTGTATCCGATTGAGCCCAAATTTGATATGGCAACTTACATGACCACAGGGAAGGTCAAAGTTAAACAATTTTGCTCGAAAAAAAAGTTGTCATTTCTTGTTTTTAAAATGCACCATCTTAAACAAAAAAATATTTGCGATTTACAAACCAAATGCAGAGCAAATGTTCAAGCTGAGACGACGTTCAACTTTGTTTTGTCATTTATTTAATCTAGACGCAACATTGTTTTAAGTGATACAGTTTTTTTCCTCGACTGCGCAGAAAATGTACTCCAGAAAGTTTGAAAAAACTATGAGAAGATTTCCAGGAGGAACACAAGGGGGTACAACCAACAGGGCAAGATGGATTGCAGCTTGAAAACAACAAACTACCTTCATGTGTTTACATTAGGGATCAATCAATCAATCACATTTAATGCCCAAGATAAAGTTACTAAATCAGGAAAGAGATATGGGGAGCTCTAATTTAAAGGGACAGCGGACATAATTTTAGTAACTCTCTGTTTATAGAGTGGCATGTCCAATTCATAATGGTACACTTAAAAGCTTATTCTATCCAAGAATGAATAAGATATCAATGTGTTTCTCTTAAAAAATTGATTAATTTCAGTTGTGTGTTATCTGTTTCTGTGGATTTCTGCAGAAACATTGCAGCAAGTTATTACAATAAATCAATTTTTAAGCTAGAAATATCTCCCACATTATTTATCAGATGTAGGATTTAAGGGTACTGTTGTGAATCAGGTTTGCAGTTTGAAATTATATCGACAGTTCCTTGTAAGATCTATTAACTAAATAAGCAAAAGCCTTTAAGAAATCTAAATTTATAATTTTGAAGAAAAAATAAATAAAACAAACAACCAAAAAACTTAATTTTCTAGAACTTGGCTTTTAATATTTGACGCTTGTGTTTCTAATGTAAACAAGGTTACCCTCACTCCTACATTAGCTGTACAAATGTAACAAAAAATAGCTTCTCCCATTTCAAAATTCTGGAATTCTGAAAGTAACAAAACTAAACTTTTCACATCTCTTTTCTTAAACTCCTTCTCCCGTTGAATGGAATATACACATAACTCTAAATGTCCCTCAATATTAAAAGTCACATTTTAGATTTTAAATGCTCACCCTTTTTAGTCTTTTTTAACAAAATGAGAAATTTATATTAGTTTTTTTCATTTAAGATTTAATTTCCTTGTCCCTATGGCATAAATTCAAAAATCACTTTGTAAGAGAATGTCATTACAAGAAACAAGAATATATCGGTCTTAATAATCAGAGCTGAAAACTTTAGAATGGTGGATATCGAGGTTAATGCTTGATCCTCTCTTTTTCTTAATATCGAGACTAACCTAATCTTGTAGTTGTATCCTGAAAAGTGTATAAAATTCCACCAATCAGAGTCTCGTATACGAAGCCGATAAAGTTGAAATTTTGCGTGCTATTTAAGATTATAGACAGACGGGAGAGACTCTCTAATTTAGAAAAACCGGTTTTTGATTTTTTCTTTATAATATCCAAGAAAGAACGGTTTAAGTAGAAATCAAAAGTGTGTCCATTGGATACTCAGATTAAGTAATAGGGATTAAGGAGATCTAATTCTAAAGTTTTAAGCTCAGAATGGTTAACAGGGTACCATTAATAATCGGGCATGAAACTCTGTAAATTAAGGTTCATTCAAAATTCTGATAACCATCACTTTCCTTTCACTTAGGTTTCCTTTCATGACCCATGAAACTGTGACAGAGGAATATGACATTCAAGCGATCATATGTGTTGTTATAAAGCAAAAAGTTTTAACATCAGTAGCTTTGAAATTAAGCTTACACTTTACACTACACAGTAGCCGGGTTTCATGTTCAGTGGACTATATAAATCAAAACTTTAGGTCAACAGACACAGTTTTATGGGTCCCACTGTACTCTATCCTATCATTTCATTCCTCTATCATCCTTTTATTCCTCTATTCTTTCATTCCTCTATCCTGTCATTTTTATATCCTGTCATTCCTCAATCCTTTCATGACTCTATCCGTGCATTCCTCTGTCATTTCATTCCTCTGTCTTTTGAATCCTTTTATTCCTCTATCCTTACATTCTTCTATCCTGTCACTTTTCTATCTTGTCATTCCTCTATCCGTTCATTCCACTGTCCTTTTATTCCTCTGTCCTTTCATCTTTAAATCTTTTCATTCCTCTATCCTGTCATTTTTCTATCCTGTCATTCCTCTATCCTTTCATTCCTTTATCCTTTTATTACTCATCCTTTTATTACTCATCCTTTCATTACTCATCCTTTCATTCCTCTATCCTTTTGTTACTCATCCTTTCATCACTCATCCTTTCATTCCTCTCTCCTTTCATTCCTCTATCCTTTCATTTCTATATCCTTTCATTCCTCAATCCTTTCATTTCTATATTCTTTCATTCCTCAATCCTTTCATTCCTCTATCCTTTCATTCCTCTTTCCTTTCATTCCTCTATCCTTACATTCCTCTTTCCTTTCAATCCTCTATCCTTTCATTCCTCTATCCTTTCATTCCTATATCTTTCCACTTCTTTTTGATTTAGATGCTAGCCAGGTTTGTTGAATCACTGAACTGTTTGATTTCAGAAGTGGCGGGGGTCCAGATTTAAAGAATAATAAACAAAATGAGACAGTTCATCTTTTTAAAGAGTAGTCGTATCCTGTGTTTATACAGTATTTACAGAGGCTAGTGTGTTCCATCTGTATATATTAAGAATATACAGGGAGACCCAAAAAAAGAGATTAGGATTGTTAACCCACATGGGTCCAGCTGATGCATAATCCGATCCAGTACAAGGATTTACCTGTCAAGTGCAGGCGGGCGGAAACAACCGAAGGTGTGTACTGTAGGTTTATACAGTAAGTATGAATCTCAGTATTTGCACAGTCTAGGAGAGTACATTTGTTGATCGTTAATTGTTTACTTAAAAATAAGTTTCATATACATGCAATATATTATTTACATATTTAAGTCAACGCTATAAGCCAAATTTCTATGCAAAGAATATAATTTGATTAAAGTTTTCAATAAACTACTCGTTATTCAAGCTTAATTATAATTGACGACATTGTTCTGCAATTTCCTTGACTGTAGTCATGTTGTGTGTCTGTACCAAAAGAGTGTGCGTGTTTATATATAACGAACTCGTCTGCAAAGCAGTGCGACTGGCTTTCTCATGCCAGACCCACGCCATTTCCTATCCCTTTATTCTTATTCCCTTGTCCAGTGTAATCGTGCTTTATATACATTTATTCGACCAGTCAGTCTAGTAAAAATCAGCGTTCTACTACAAATCTAAGTTATGTTTAAATACTGTTTAAATTTTCCGGAAAGTAATACGTTTTGTGCCCCCCCCCCCCTTTAGTAATTGCATCACAAAAAAACTTTTAAATGATTTTAAGGACTCTAAAAATACCAGTTCCAGTTGAATTGGTCACCCTGTAGTGTATAAATATTATATACTAAAGAAAATGATTTTAGTCTCAGATTTTGAATACAAAAACTATAAAAATAGATGAAGATAATTTGGATAAGGAACAAAATATAATAAAAAAAGTGAAACTGAAAGAAGGAAATAAGAATAAAAAATATGTAATTTAAAAGAACTTTTAAGAAAGAGAGTGTAAAACGGAATTTTAAAGTATACAGAAGACGAACATTATGTTTTTGTATCGGAAACATCAGAGCAAAGTAAGCGACCGTAAACCCATTTTATTGGAAGAATTAACATAAACAATTATGTGGTTCAAGCCTATAATTTCTGAACCATGGTAATTTTCATTTCATTTCAAGTAATTTTAATATTTTTGAAAATTGGTAATTTGTTATTTCAATGTTTTATTTGAAAAAATGTTTATTGATCAGAAAAAAAATCATTTTATAATTTCTGAACTAAAATCAAAAACAAATATTATGTTATTTTGTAGCGGCAAAATCAAAGAAAATATATTTTATGGTAGAATTAACATAAACAAGTACGTGGTTTAAGCTACCATTTCTGAACCATGGATGAAAAAAAAATATTTTAAAGTAATATTGAAATATTTGAAAATTAATAATTTGTTTTTTTAATTGTTTTCAGAAAAAAATTGTTTGATTAGAACACTAGTACGTGTACTATTCTATAATTTCTGAACCCTGAAAGATTTAACACGAAAACAAATATGTGTTTTGGTACACTCAATTTCAAGTTAAAATCATATCAGAGTTATACCTCTGAGGATAAACATTGTAAGCAATTACTTTAGTCTAGTTTCAAACCTTTAACCCTTTTTTATTAATTCTTCTTATTAATTCCTCCAAATTCCTACAAATTCCAACAAATTCCTCTACATTCCTCTACATTCCTCTAAATTCCTCTAATTTCCTCTAAATTCCTCTAAATTCCTCTAAATTTCCTATAATTTCCTATAATTTCCTATAATTTCCTCTGAATTTCTATAAATTCCACCAAATTCCTCAAAATTCCTCTAAAGTCCTCTTAATTCCTCTAAATTCCACTAAATTTCTGTTAATTCCTCTCATTCCTCTAAAGTGATAGTAATTCCTTGTAATTCCTCTTAATTCCTTTTCATTCCTTGCAGTTCCTCTTAATTCCTCTTAATTTGTCTTTAATCCTCTAAACAGCTCTTAAATTCCGCTTAATTCCTCTTTATTCCTAACAGCTCTTAATTCCTCTAATCTCCTTAAATAAATAAAAATACTTTTAGATGTTTTCCATCCTATTTACCCTGGTACAAGTTGGACTATGCTTTGGCGAGGTAATCAATCCTTATGCTAACCCTATAATGGCCTGGGTTTACTCTGATGTTAGATGCCAGCCCTATTACCTGGAACATACTGATAGATACTTCTGCACAGATGAAGGGGTTTTTACATGTGTTAGTAAGTATCATGCATTTAATTTTATACATTGTCATATTAATGACAATAATGATAATATTGCTATTATTAATAATATTGGTAATATTGATAATATTGATAATATTGATAATATTGATAGTCTTGATAATCTTAATAATATTGATAAAATTGATAATATTGATAATATTAATAAAATTAATAATATTAATAATATTGATAATATTGATAATATTGATTATATTGATAATAATGATAAAAGTGATAATTTTGATAATATTGATAATATTGATAAAATTGATAATATTGATAATATTGATAATATCAGCGTTTCGGATCCGGATCCGTATCAGGAAACGTTGATATGGATCCGGGTAGCGCCAAAAATTAACCAAAACCATGGAATAAATAAATCAAAATGGTTCGTAAATGTATTATTTACATGACAAAATTTTTCAAAATTATCTTAAATAATTTAATGTTTACATTTATATAATAGTAATGACGACATTTTTAACTTTAGGATTACTCAGCGGCAAATGCTCACATGGCGCAAATTTCAAATATATAAAGTATTCACAGAATCAAAAGTTACCTTGGATCCGGATCCGTATCAGAGTCAGGATCCGGATCCATCATCACGGATGCGGATCCGGATCCGCATCAAAATGATACGGATCCGAAACACTGGATAATATTGATAAAATTGATAATATTGATAATATTGATAATATTGATAATATTGATAATAGCAATAATAATGATTAATAATGATAACAATGATAATAATGATAATATCTAGATGGATGGACTGGAGATAACTGTGATGAACCCGTATGTCTAAATGGATGTAATTATGGAAAATGTGTTGCCCCAGACATTTGTAGGTAAAATCATTTGTTCATTTATACATACAAAGTAGTAAGTTCTGTTTGTTTGCATGTCAGATCATAACAGTCCGATTTGCCTCAAATTTTGATTGTGAAGTTAGGTTAAATCACAGGAATGTTAAAAATTCTAAATTGAGTGGGTTAAGTAGAGCTAGTAACTTAAATAATTAAAATTATTCATTTATTTCTATTTCATAATATCAAACAGTGCTTGTAACTGTATGCAGGTGTGATATGGGATACCAGGGGGGCACTTGTCAATCTTGTATCAAGCATCCAGGTATATAATAATAGTACGGCCATCTGTGTACTCTTAACTCTGTACTGTGTACTATGTACTCTTAACTCTGTACTATGTACTGTTAACTGTGTACTTTGTATTGTTAAACTGTGTAATAACTGAGCACTATGAATTATTAACTGTGTATTATGTACTATTAACTGTGTACTATGTACTGTAAACTGTGTACTATATACTGTTAACTGTGTACGGTGTACTATGTACTGTTTACTGTGTACTTGGTACTGTTAAACTGTGTACTATGTACTGTTATCTGGAAACTATGAACTGTTAACTGTTTACTATCACTGTTAATAGTGTTTAATGTACTGTTAAATGCGTACTTTATACTGTTTAACTATGTTCTATTAACTATTATCTGTGTACTGTGTAAGATGTACTGTTTATTTGTGTACAGTGAACAGTTTATTGTGTAATGCACAATGTTTACCGTGTACTTATCCCTACGATATTAAAATTTCAAAATCAATGAATTTGTTTGTAAAAAAGTATTAAAAATGATGAAAATTAGCCAATGTCCAATCTTAAATTTCACCTCCAAAATCATCAAAAATCACTTCTACCCCTCCCCCCCCCCCCCACAGGAGGAGGTAATTTAGAAAATATACACCCCGGAATTGTAAAATTTATATTTTAAGAAATAATTTCTAGGTTGTATCCATGGAACATGTAACACGGCTTTTGAATGTAACTGTGAACCCGGTTGGGAGGTAAATTTTTTTAATATTATTTACAATTTCTCTTTTGAATGTAACTGTGAACCCGGTTGGGAGGTAAATTGTTTTAATATTATTTACAATTTCTCTTTCAAATGTTTATTTTTCTCAGGGACGAGACTGCAACATTCCCCAATGCTCTGAAGGATGCCATGCTGATTATGGATTCTGTGATGTAAGTTTTTATTTCATTTTTATGAGAAAATATCCATCTTAACTTATTAACATTACTTTTACTCTCCTATAAATAATTTTAACTTTGAATTGTCATTAAAAACCATTTTCAATGAAATGTGTCGGATTTTTCTTTTTGAATTGTCGAATTTTCAATTAAGAAACATTTTAACTATTTTCCAGTAATTTTTTCTCCAATTTTAATGTTCCATGAACCTTCCCTGGGGTCATTTTAGGTCCAACACAAAATTTGAGCCGGATCCGTTCATCTGTTTTGCCATTCACAAACAAACAGACCGAAAGACAAGCAAAGTATAAAGATAAATTTAAATGTCAAATGTTTTATAAATTTAGACTCCTGATACATGCTTATGCAAGCATGGCAGTGGAATGCAAGGACCTAATTGTACTGAGTGTGTGACTAAAGAAGGATGTAAACATGGCACTTGTGATCTTCCAGGAGAATGTAACTGTGATGCAACTTTGTGGAGTGGACATCTGTGTGATGTGCCAGTTTGCAAACCAGGATGCAGTATGGAACATGGATATTGCAAGTAATCTATTCCAACATTTAAGAAAAAAATCTTTACACAAGTACATATCTTTACAAAAGTACAGTACACTGCTAGTTTAGTATTAAGTAGTACGACCTTAGAAGTTTTCTTCATCCTAATATGTATGTTTAGGGAAACCAACTACATGTATTTGTATGTTTAGGGAACCAGCTACATGCATTTGTCTGTTAGGGAAACCAGCTACTTGTATTTTTATGTTTAGAGAACCAGTTACATGTATCTGTATGTTTAGGGAACCAGCTACATGTATTTGTATGCTTAGGGAACTAGCTACTGATATTTGTGTGTTTAGGGAACCTGCACTATGTATTTGTATGTTTGGGGAACCAGCTACTTGTATTTGTCTGCTTAGGGAACCATCTCCATGTATTTGTCTGCTTAAGGAACCATCGACATGTATTAGTATGCTTAGGGAACCAGCTACATGTATTTGTAAGTTAAGGGAACTAGCTACTGGTATTTGTATGTTTAGGGAACCAGCACTATGTATTTGTATGTTTGGGGAACCAGCTACTTGTATTTGTCTGCTTAGGGAACCATCTCCATGTATTTGTCTGCTTAGGGAACCAGCGACATGTATTTGTATGCTTAGGGAACCAGCAACATGTATTTGTATGCTTAGGGAACCAGAGACATGCATTTGTAAGGCTGGATGGCAGGGACCCAACTGCAATGAATGTGCTCCTTACCCTGAATGCAACACCAATAACACCATTCCTGCAGGAGCTTGTAAAAAGCCTTGGGAGTGCTTGTGCAAAGAGGTTGGTTTTATATTTTTTTTTATAAATATTTATACAAAGTTCATTAATCATAGTATATTGAGCTTTAACGTATGTATGTATGTATGTCACACTCTTTTTGTGTCCTTCAATGGACTGTTAGTGAAATTTCAAGTGATCCAGTGCAGATGGCAATGCCCGACTCACAAAGGTAGCCTTGAAACCTTTATCTGTCAAAGAAGACTTTAGGAAATTAGGAAATTTTTGGTAGTCAATCTTAGATCAACTGAAGGTGATTTTCCTTTTTGTGGATTTTAATATTTAAAATATTTAGGAGTTTGCAGGCCCCACCTGTAATGTCCCAGCTTCAACACCTGTGGCAATCAAAATAGATGCCAATGGTTCAGTGTCAGCTGTAAACTGAGTGATTTTTATCAGCTTAGTTTGTAAGGATATATCTTATTTGTAATTCACTTAATTTTAAGCATCAATAAAATTCTGCATATCAAAATTTTTAATTTCAGTTTCTAGTGTCACAGGATCTCAATAGATCTAAATCCACATTATTTTCATTGCATTGTACAGTTGTTGTCGTATATATCAATCTTTGTTTCTTTGTAAACTTGAAATTTGTAAAAGGCTTGTTAGGGATTAAAGCACTATTAGTAAACAGTTGTCTTTATTGTATTGATATAATCACTGACCACTGTTTGTTATTGTAACTAGCTGGTCTACAAACTCTTTTGAGAGTATTTCATTTTCAAAATTAAAAAATTTGAAGGAACTGGTCCTCGTTTTTATTTTAAGAACTTGTGTTTATTGGTGAAAATTTACAAATTCTATGGAATTTTTCTTTAAAATCAAAGTTTCTATAATTCACTTCACACTATACCACACACCCCTGTTTCATTTACACTTAATTACTTTGATTCAGCAATACTATTTATCTAGTTTTAAAATTTATTTTTGGATAAGAGGAGATTTTTCCAACAACAAATACCCCTGATCTAGAATAAACATGTAATATCAACATCAGAGTTAACTGGGAATCAGAAATATAAACATAAATGATAAAAACATAATAAGAAAAGAGCACAAATATATCCATTAAAATTCAGTGATCACTCTTTAAGCATGTGGAAATGAGTCAAAACTTATGCATGAACTTGCCAATAATAGCTGAAATTTTGATTTCAGGAAAAAAACTCTTGAAATATTAATCAAGAAGGATTTATATTAAACCCTCAGACAAGTGCAGTTTCCTCAGGATTAACAATAAGTTCCAAGGCCGAATTTAAAGAATTTGAACTGCATCTCAAATTTGAGACACAGCTCAAACATGGTTGGTTCCACTTGAATTTGTATTCAAGGCTTTGAGATTTGAGCAGGCGTTCAATTAATACCAGTTTTTGGTTCAGCAAGACTGTTTTGATTTAGCAATTTGCCCTCCAGACTTATTTACTACTGTCTCACCTCTTTCTATAGTTGACTGTTGGAGGTTAAGGTTGCGCATGAGTTGACCCACCTCAGCATCAGATATCAGGTTCATTCCCTCGCCTTCATCAATTAATCAATCAATATTAATCCAGCAACCAATTAATCACCCAATCAGTCAATTAATCAGTCAATTAGTCAATCAAGCAGTCAATCAAACAATCATCAATATCAATAGATCATTCATTATTTCAATCAACCACTAAATCACTCATTAAAAATAAATCAAAGAAACAATCAGTCAATCAATCAATATGGTATTAATCCCCAGATATATTAAACACACATAATTGACAACTACCCCACCTCTTATATACTAATCAAATGAAGAAAAAAAATGTAATAGCATTGGTAACCTGACATGATCACTGTTTGTTTATATTATTAAAAATTTTACCTCCAAACATTCTATGCTTATTATTTCTCTGAGTTTGTTTGCTTAAGGCAGGATCTAGATGTGGAAGATGAGCCTAACAAAAATAAGAACATTTTTTAATGTAGCTTATCAAACATGCTTAAAATTAATTTATGGGATATAAAATTCCAAATCAATTTGAATTGAATCAAATCGCATTGCGAAAAAAAAAAAAATTCACTTCAGACTTGGTTTTACCTGGAATTGGATGAAGGTAGACAACAACGAGTTCCTTCCATGCAGATCATTTCTAGATTAACAATAATTAATTTTTTGTTCTTATGGGAAACTTATATCAGTTGAAGCCCGCTCCCCGCAAGGATAGGACCTACTCACAGCAGCTCCCAGGCTTAAAGCTTAGGCAGAGCACTGAGTGGAATTACTCATGACTAACACCATCTGCATATGCGTTATTAAGTCCTAGACTTTTCAGTGCTTCCATGAACTCAGCTGAAAATGGTCCTTAGACCTTCTAATACAATTTATTAAATGATTGAATTTTGGATGCGGAAAATAAAACAAGGCATAAGTCTAGCAAGCTGATATCCCATTCAATGCCTTGAAGCGATGAAATTTTTGAAACTTTTGATTTTTGCAACTAAATTGATTTGGTTAGAAAATATAGGATAGAATTGACAAAAGTATTAAAACTTTTAATGGCTTTTTTCAAAACTTGTAACTGATACATCATACATATTGTGGGAGGAGGGGGACTAGGGAAAAAGGCGTGTGTCTGCACTTTTAGAATAAACATATGAATTTCAGTAGAAAAGATCTATTGCATATCCTTTCATGGTTTTAATAAAAAGATCATACCACCATGAGTATGAGTTTATTCCTATGTTGATTAAACTAATTTTATACACGTGAGGAGGGGTGTAAAGTTTTATGAATTGCAAATGAATTTGGAAGATCTGAGGGAAAAGTTTAAAAAATTGGAGTTTTTGATACTTTTTTCTAAAAAATTATTCATTTTCTCCTTAAAGATCAATGTTTTACCACAATTCAGTGGAAAAAGCTTAAAATATACCTAACTTCTAGGGGGAAAAATTTACGTTCAAAAAACCTTGGGGAAATACACACTCTATACCTGTGGCTGAGATGGGTTGATATAACCTTGACAACCTCCGCCATAGCTGAGAATGCTGCTTGACCAACATGCAAGGTCAGACCTAGATACCACATTTATTGTTTATTGCAACATTTTAACAAAAAAGACATTAAATTTGCGTAAAATCTACAAAAAATATACGTTTAATTTTTGAAATTTGGTAAATAAGGTTGTGTTCTTGTCGGTAATACAGGGGACATTAGTTTCAAACTGCAAAATGACCTTTTTCTAACATTGAATGTAATAAATGGACTATAAAGTATAAACCCCGTCAGGAACTGATGTCCATTTACTATTCAAACAGTTTGTGATCAATCTTCAATAAAGCCGTTTAGGAACTGATGTCCATTTACTATTCAAACATGTTGTGATAGATCTTCAATAAGTCTGTATGTGTCTGTTAACACATTTAATACTGAGATATTACAGGGATAACTTTTTGGTTTAAAAGAGTTTTTAGTTGGAACTGATTCACTGCTTCCATTTGAAAATTTGACATCATTACCACTTGAAAAATATTCTCTTTCAGCAATCAGATTTGTTTTAACATGGTCAACTAGTTTGGAAACACCTACCAATTTGAACAAAAACTCTGCCATAACTAAGGCATAATTTCCAACAAAGGGATCAATCGAAAATCAACGACTGGGGGCCTTAGTCGTGTCATAGGATGAGGTTGTAAAGACGAAAGAGTATGACAATTTAAAGCTTGATTTTTGGTTTCTACATTCAAGTATTTTAATGGTTTATTAAATGAAACTCACAAAAAAAACAGTTTTGGCCTACAAGGAACCCTGGAAAACGGACTAAACACATTCCGTACAATTGTCTCTAAAGCTCATCCTTGTGGTAACCGTGGGTAACCACATATAACCTTGATAGCAACTTACCAGCAACTGTGGGCGGTTTAACCATTAGTAGAAGTAGTTTATCAAGCACAAGTGGCATAAAGGCAACTAAGGATTCCGGCCTGCTCTCCCCAACATCCCTTAGACACCTGATAACCAAAATATATGAAATTTTACGCAATAAAACAGTTTATTAATAAAGTTTCAGTCAAAAAAATGTTTTTGGTTTTGTAAAATGTTTTTATTTTGCTCTAGCTGTTAATAGGCAAATCATGAATCTCAAAAAAAAGGGTTAGTGCGAGTCTTGTTTTAACAGTATTTTAAAATAATTTTTGTAAATTTATTTTGAATTATAGAATCCAATTGTGTCCTTACCTTATCAGATCTTGTTCCATATCCTTATCCGCTACTCTGGCTGGTTTTTGACCTAGGCAAATCAAATCAAATCAAATCAAATCAAATCAAATCAAATCAAATCAAATCAAATCAAATCAAATCAGACTTTCATGAAAATCCCACAATTCAATCCGAGATGACATTGCTAAATTAAGAGTGAATCAAGGCCTTATAGCTTGTGAACTGTTTGACGTTTCCATTACATATTAGTAGCCTTTCACAATGGATAAACAAAAAATGCTTGGTGCTTAGAATCAATTTATGGGCTTAATTAAATTATAATATTAAATAATTGTTATCTGTAATGTAACTGCATGGTATAAGTTTCACTATTTATGTTTTATTATATGCAAAAAAATAGTTCACTTTTTTATGTAAATCAGTGGCTGATTATTCAATAAACAAGGTGTCTCACGAAAACATGACAGAAGCAAAACGACTTAAAGTTCTGATTTAATCTTTGAAATAGTTTGTTTATAATAATAATCACAAAATAACCCTAGTCATGGGATTTCCAAATGTGGTCTGCCTTTTTTAGTGCTTTTTAGATAACCGAAGATATCAAGAATTTTGTTTAGATTTATACAATTTTTGTTTCGACTATATTGACTCTTAGAAAAATTATTACCTAATTGTAGTCCTGCTGTTTTGGTCAGAAATGTGTCAAGATTTAGGTTTTCTGTGTGTACAGAAGAGATGGCCTAAAAATGTCTAACATAAAGGGACTGTAAGCTTAATTTCAAGTGACTCTTTATGCAAAGATGACAATGTCTGAGTTATAACTGCATCTTGATCATCGAAGACAGTGCTCTCAGTGTATTTATCTCTTAAATGCTGTGTGATAAGCCGTAAATCTGGAATGTACGTTAGAGTACTGTGTGAAAACCGGTTTATACGTAAAATAAAGAGGGCACAAGTAATGTCAGCTGACTTGAGTTCACAATGTACGCGAGTGCACACTCCTGATTCACAGCATTACAAACTTTGCATCCACTTTCACTAGAAATTTTCCCTTTTCCCTTTTCCCTTTGGGAAAAAATACGCCAAATGTAAGACTAAGATTACAACCAAAAATGGAGAACATGGTTTAACTAAATTACTGGCAAGGACAGTAAAATTGCGACAATATCGATTATAAAACCAACAAGAATACTAGTTTGTAAAAACAACAACAACAATAGCATTATCCTAAAGCGCATTGCAAAGACAAATACCTAGCAAAAAAATATGGACACTAAAACTATAATAATACTAATAACAACAACTAAAATAAATGGTAAATGTAAACCACAACAAGACCCCGAATATTGCTGTGAGTAAGACAAGGGTAACAACAACAAAAATACTGGTAAATATAAACCACAACAAGACCCCGAATATTGCTGTGAGAAAGACAAGGGTAACAACAACAAAAATACTGGTAAATATAAACCACAACACGACCCCGAAAAATGGTGTGAGAAAGACAAGGGTAACAACAACAAAAATACTGGTAAATATAAACCACAACACGACCCCCGAAAAATGGTGTGAGAAAGACAAGGGTAACAACAACAAAAATACTGGTAAATATAAACCACAAGAATATTACTGTGAGAAAGACAAGGGTAATAACAACAAAAATACTAGTAAATATAAACCACAACAAGACCCCAAATATTACTGTGAAAAAGACAAGGGTAACAACAACAAAAATACTGGTAAATATAAACCACAAGACCCCGAATATTACTGTGAGAAAGACAAGGGTAACAACAAAAATACTAGTAAATATAAACCACAACAAGACCCCGAATATTGCTGTGAAAAAGACAAGGGTAACAACAACAACAACATCAAACATATGAAGGCCTAAAATAAAATGAATATAGAAACACCAAGTTAAAACAATGACAACAATAACATCAAAATATTAAGGCCTAAAATACAATTAATATAAAAACACCAAGTTAAAACAATGACAACAACAAAAGCAGCCAAAATAACAATAAAATAATCACAATGGTTACGAATGAATACAATTACAACAAATCAAATTAAATCGGCAAAAAAAAAAAATAAGACAAAAAAAATCAAATACAACAATTACATAGAGAAGACCAACCTCAATATCTACAGTGAAGATACATTTCTTATTATCAATCCATTTGAAGGCAGAACCAGGAGGAGCTTTTTCCGTTGAAATAAAACTAGATATAAAACCATTAACAAATCCATTTAAAATTTTTTCCTTGAAAATTAAAAAAAAATTTAATTATTCCAAATCTTTTCCTAATCGAGCTTTATTTGTCACATTTCAATAGTGCCAGTTATTTTTTTTATTCATAGAAAAGAGGCACATTTGTATTTTAAGTGCTTTTAGAAAAAACCAGTCCCGCATAACCCTGAAATGATGAAATGTTAACCTTAGGTTAGTAAGTTAGGTTAAGTTCTCCCACTAAAACCTTAATTGTGATTTTTAAGATCTAAGTAGGAAATAATGAATAAGACTTTGTGACCTTAAACTCTTTTAAACTAACTATCGTTGAATTAGATGTTATGTCTTGAATATGTACTTCTAATGATACAATTGATGATTTGGCGAAAAATGATTATAGCTACCAGAAGCAATGTATTAAAAAATTGAAATAAATTCTGAACAGTCGTCTCTGAAGTCCCATCCTTTGTGGGTAACCCTGTATGTTATTTTTAAAAAACTTGAAATGATTTTATATTCCTGAATCCCGCGGATGGAAGTTCACTTGCCACCGGTAGATTATGCTCTCCAGTTGCCAGGGAACCTAGGACACAATATTTGCACTTGTTTCCGGGGCGTACACAGGGGGGAGGTATTTGGGGGGAGCTTCTCTGCATGAAATTAAAGTATAGATCCCAGGGTGAGTATTTACTATCAACCCCCCCCCCCCCCGGGAAATTTAAAAAAGGTTAAACCCCCTGGACACATACCACACACCCTTATCTAAAAAGAAAATAATAAAATCTTTTTATAAAACTACCTTTATCATCTAATATTGGAATCCAAGTATATCCTGGTAAAATTAATCTTTTTATAAACTGTTGATAAAACTAAACAGTGAACATAAATTGGAAAACATACAGTCGTCGTCTATATATGAATACAATGAAGACGACTTTCGATTTCAATTTTGATTTCTTTTGTAAGAGGTTTTTTTGCCCCAATGATCTGGTTGTAGGAAAAATCGTGGGAACATGATATTCTGTAAACTTGCAGTACGTTGTACATTATTGGTTATTTAATGTTGTAAACTTAGACTGCGTTTCAATTGAATACTTAGCAGGATTGGTTTAAATCATGCGAAATACTTAAACTACGCTATAAAACATGTGCGGAGATAGCTTAACTGCGTTATATCTTTTCTCTCTAATCTTATAAATGTGTACATTAAACTTTAACTGTGCGATAAATATGTAATACGATTAACATTGTAGAAATTGTAACTACGTCAATTCATGTTAATTTTTGACATAAGATATTAAATAAAGCTTAGTTATATAGAGCAACTCCGTACTGTTTACTGCGTGAGAGTAGACCTGAAACCCTGAAGCTTGTATTAAGGTGGATCGTCCCATTTAATTTGGGATTGATATCTAGGTTGTGGATAGCTAGCCTGAAACCCTGTTTTGATAACCACATTGGATCGTCTTCGTCATTTGGGATCGATGTTGTTGTATAGCTAGGCTTGTGTCCTTGTGTGGCATTGAAGCACCGAAACCCTGTGTTGATATATAACCAGGTTGTATCGTCCCCATCATTTGGGATCAATATATATATATCTTGTTTATTAGCTACGCTTGTGTCCCTGTGAGGCTGGGATTCAATCCTGGTTGAACACTTAAAAAGTAGCGGGATTTTTATAGCTACGTTAGTGTCCCTGTGTGGCATTAGAGCCTTGGATTCAGCCCTGGTTAAGTTCAATAGCGGACGGATTATACCTGGATAGATACGTTTCGAGAACTTGATATGGAGTAGGCGTTTATTACAGGGTTGTTACGATCAAATCTCGGAATTTTTCTATTGCGAAGGTTTGGTGTTGTATGGTTTTTTTTATCTACAAGGGGGTTGTAAAATGGCAACACATTCATCCATTCACGCTTCATTCATACTGAGAGGAGGGCTGACAAGAATCCAGCTGCCTATGGGCTTCTTAGGCCTGAGAATATAGAGTGCAGGAAGTCTTCTGATACACCGGAATTAGGCAAAACTTGAAATCGGAAGTAGTCTTAATTTTTTCCAAAAATAGATTTTGTTTCAAAATTCAAAAACAATTTAAATGTTTCTAAAACTCCTCAGGCAACGCCGGGCACTTTATGTAGTAATTATTATTTATATTATTATTATTATTATTAAATCCAAATATAAAGATTAGTTCCTGCAGGAGTCTCCAGTCGTTCTCCGTCTCTCAACTACGGGACATTATTTATGTATTAAAGGAAGAGTTAAAGGGACTGTTCATTTTTTTCAAAACGAGCATTCTCACATTTTCGCGGACTTTCCTATTTAAATTGGCGCAAAGTATATGTAAAGATTGTGAATGTGATGGGAAGATCAGGGTGAACATTTTTAGTTGCGGGTTTCGGGTAAAAACAATGAATTTTTAGAGAAACAGCTTCAAAAAAGCTTAAAAAATACTATAATACATCACTCATACACAGATATTATACTTCAGCGATTTTTAAATTAACGAATAGTGGTAATCACTTTATAGTACTACTACTCTACTAATAATAGAAATAAACAATTAATTAATGTTGATAATAATTAATGTTCTTCCCTGGCCCTTGCAGGTCACGTGATAGAAGGTGAACAGTAAATAATGATGATCCCTAAAAATAAAAATGTTTATGAAATTTTTTTTTTTAATCCCTTGTCATGAGACTTCCGACATTCATACTAATTTTAGATTTTTTTACAGGGACTGTAGAGTGTAGACTGTAGAGTGTAGAGTCAAGGAACCTTCCAGTTAGAAAGTGGCATGTCCGATTTACAACGGTTTCCCCNCAGTCCCCCCCCCGCCTAGTTGCGCCACTGGTGCCGGCTCAATATCCAACTAAACTAAAGGGTCACTTATAATCACTTGTATCCACATCTTTGGTTAACATAACTTTAACGTATGCTATCTTGCTTGCATGAAAATAATTATCGATATTTTAAGAAACAGCATTTTAATCCTTTTATTTTTTCTATGACTACAGAGATAAACAGAAAACCCTGGAAGAGAAATTCGACTTTTAGACTAAAGTTATGGCTTTTTATAGTTCAATGCACCTGGTGCAAACAGACCCATTTTACTCAAAAATTGATTTAATACTTAACAACATGAAATGCACTTCAATATTACTTTAATGCCGTCTTTTTAATCTACAGTTGTCTGGTTATCACTGTACTTAGCCCTGTTTTTTATTATGTCTCTTGTTAAAACTAACCTGAGATTACTTGGCAGTTTTATTTTAACTTCTTCATAAAAGTCCGGAGTCTTATTGTGGTGGGCAACAGCAGTAAAAGCTTCCCTAAAAACATGAATTGTATTTCCGTTGGTAGGAATATTGTATTTCCGGTGGTCGGAACATTTATTTCCGGTGTTCGGAATATTGGACTTCCGGTGTTTGAATTATTGCATTTCCAGTGTTCGGAATATTGGATTTCCGGTGGTTGAAATATTGTGCTTTCGGTGGTTGGAATATTGTGTTTTCGTTGGTCGGAATATTGGATTTCCGAGGTCGGAAAATTGCATTTACGGTGGTTGGAATATTGCATTTCCGGTGGTCGGAATATTTGATTTCCGGTGGTCGGAATAAATAAATAGGGTGAACATGTGATTTAGCGTTTTATGAGTGTAGCGATTTTCTAGTATAGTCCTGTTGAATGTTGATTCTAACCTTGAGAACTCTGGGCAGTTTGATTTGCCGAATATTACGGGCAGCGCGAACTCATCTCCTTCACCAGACATTAGCTGGACCTAAAGAAATCAATCAATAAATCAGTTCAAAAGTCAATCAATCGATAAAATCAATAAATTAATTAATCAACCAACCAATCAATTAGTCAATCAATCAATCCGCTGATCGATCAATCAAACAAATCAATCAGTTAATCAAACAATCAATCCCTCAGTGCACAGATCTATATCTAAAAGTGCGACCCATATTACTGTGAGTGTGAAAGCAAGAGCTATTAACTCAATATTCCATGGAACTTAAAATACACCAATTGTGCAGTGTCTACAGACCCATGTGGATTATCTAAATTAGAAATATCCAGTTTCACAGTTTTATGGGCCCCATTGTTTAATTGAGATAAATATAACCTTGACAGCAATATTCCTGGCCCGCTCTCCACTTCTATTCGTAAAATTCAACTCCTTAGGGAACACGTACACGAGGTTCCGGAACTGGTAGTGAGGGTTTTCCTAGGTAGGTAGGTAGGTAGGTAGATAGGTAGGTAGGTAGTTAGGTAGGTAGGTAGGTAGGTAGGTAGGTAGGTAGGTGGCAGGCAGGCAGGCAGGCAGGCAGGCAGGCAGGTAGGTAAGTAGGTAGAGGGGATTAGGAAGGTAAATAAGGTAATTAAGGGAGATATGTAGTGAGTTAGGCAAGAAGGTAGGTAAGTAGGTTAGTTTTTGTAGATTAGGTAAAGTAAATAAGGGAGATATGTCGATAGTTAGACAGGTAGTCACAGGATATGCTTAAGATAGGTAGGTAATGACTAGTCAAGGGTTATGCTTAAGATAGATACTAGGTAGGTAGTCACTAGTCAAAGGTTATGCTTAAGATAGATACTAGGTAGGTAGTCACTAGTCAAGGGTTATGCTTAAGATAGATTCTAGGTAGGTAGTCACTAGTCAAAGGTTATGCTTAAGATAGGTATACTAGGTAGGTAGTCACTAGTCAAAGGTTATGCTTAAGATAGATACTAGGTAGGTAGTCACTAGTCAAGGGTTATGCTTAAGATAGATTCTAGGTAGGTAGTCACTAGTCAAAGGTTATGCTTAAGATAGGTACTAAGTAGGTAGTCACTAGTCAAAGGTTATGCTTAAGATAGGTGGGTAGGTAAATGGATAGATAGATTAGGCAGGTAGATTAACGGAGGGAGGTAGGAAGGTAGGTTAATAGGTAGATATACAGAGGTAGGTAGGTAGGTAGGTTAATAGGTAGATTTACGGAGGTAGGTAGGTAGATAGGTTAATAGGTAGATATAAGAGGTAGGTAGGTAGGTAGGTTAATAGGTAGATATACAGAGGTAGGTAGGTAGGTAGGTTAATAGGTAGATATACGGAGGGAGGAAGGTAGAGAAGTACCTGTGTACTATCATTCTGTTTAGGAGGAAAATTCAGAATTTCTTTCGAGGGTCTAGCCATTGGATCTGGAAAAAATGAATATTTGCAGGCCGTGTCATGATCAATAATCAGGTCTATCCTGACTAAATCATATTAATTTATAACTATAATATAATAAGCTTTTCAAATCTTACTCAGTTGTAATAATACAATTCCCATTTAAAAAAAAATAAATTGGGAAAAGTGCATAAATTCCTTAATAATTAATAATAACAGTAATAATAATAATACCTGGATATGGTTTGAGTTTAGCTAACTCTGGTGTTAAGCAATGTTTAATTGAATCTCCAGCGACACAAATATCCAGTTTCAAGGATCCTGAGGTCAAAACTATTTAATTTCAAATCTGTCGATATTAATTGATTCGATTATTATGCTCAATCGGTTTAATAAAAGTCGTCAGGCTCAGTTCAGTCACATTTTCAGTTGAATCAATCAGTGCTTAGAATCCATTTAATTCTGCGAAGAAAAAAATGGATCCAGGTCATGAACATTAATATAAGATTTACTGATTAAAACTATTTTTCTTCTTCTTTTGGCTGATTGTTAGGCTAAAGCTTGATGAACAGTTCAGGAATAAATTTTTTTTTAATAACTCTATTTAAGTTCAGATTTGGGGTTGGAGAGCAACACGATTTTATTCAGTTTTTAGTTGATATTTTGCCCCTCGGATTTCCTCGGAATCAATTTAAAAGTTCAGGCTTTGAAAATTGAGTTAAACTATACCAGATAAAAGTTGTATCCCCCCTTTTAAAAATATAACAATTATCTCCTTTCTCATTCTCTATCAAGAACTGACGAGGGTCAACCCAGACCGAAATATATTTTCAATAACATCTACTTTTTTACTCTACAGAGGTTTGGTCAATCACCATCACCGAATTTTAAATCAATGTTTTACCTTTGATGGTTTTCAGCTGTTTAAGCTTAGGCTGAGCCTTCTTCAAATCCTGAAGATGTTTATAAAGGTCGTCATCCTTCAACTTATCTCCTTCTTGCTTGAAGAAGGAACTCACTAAATATTGGGTCGGGTCAAATTAGAAAATAAATATTTTTCATCTTTAATTCATACTGAACAATTTATAAATGATAAAGATATTAAACAAATACATATTTAAAATGTTTTTTCAAGTTGCAAGTGTGAGAATACCAAAACTGTGGAAGGATGTTTAAAAAATAATGTGACACATTGGAACTTTGTTTCCATCTTTGCACAATGCACAGAGTGTCACTTGATATTAAGCTAACAGTCTCCCTTTAACAAGTTCCAGCAAAACCTATAATCTGCATTATATAATATGTCCAGACATGTGGCTCATAAGAGAGGGGGGGGGAGAACATAAGTCCTCAATTGGTTATCACAGCCGCCCAAACGTGTTTTGCGACATGTTCGCTCCTCAATTGGTAATCAGAAATAAAAATGTTAACATTTTGAGGTGGTGGAGATTACCAATTGAGGAGCGCGCATGCCGCAAAACACGTTTGGGTGGCGGTGATTACCAATTGAGGACTCCAGCACTCTCCTCCTGCTATCATTATCTTTGAGTTAAAATCCCCACCTGTAAGGGTGACCGGAGGGAAGTTGTCTAGGGTTGCGGTCAACTCTGATTCACTAGCAGCCCAGCTACTCCTCTTCTCTTTCCGGTCTAACGAGCCACGTCTAGATAGATAGATAGATAGATAAACAGATGGATAGATAAATAGATGGCAAGATAGATAGATAAACAGATGGATTGATAAATAGAAGGCAAGATAGATAGATAATTAGATAGATAGATAAATAGATATATTCATAGATAGATGGATGATAGATATAAAAATAAATAAATAGATATATAATAGATAGATAATTAATTAGATAAATAGATAGAGATATTAACTAGATAGGTAGATTAACATAGATAAAGCAAATAGACGGATAGATCGATAGATTCAAGCATTTAGATAGCATTTAGATAAATAAATAGACGTAAGAAATAAAGAAAGAAAGATATATCCTAGAGTTAGATAAAAAAGAAAGTTTCGAATTTAGAATATAAAATCATAAGTGAAAGGGCAAAAAATGCTTTGTGGTTTAAGAAAACTAAAAACTAATCAAAACTTATTTTTTTATATAAAGAATCACATAGGTTGTTCCTCATTTTAGCAGATTTTGATAAAATTTATCTAAAAATACATTTTAAGGGACAAGAGGCGTATTTCAAGTGAAGCTCCACCGAAAGATTGGCAATGTCCGATTTACAACGGTACTTTTGTAACCAAGTAATCTGATCAAAAATGGGAAAGATACCGTCGTTTTTCTGAGTTTCTCCATTGCTTCTTTATAACAAGAAATGCGCAAGACACTTTCACAGAAAACTAGCAAATGAAAATAAACAGATCGAAGAAACAAAAACATTGATATATAATTCATACTTGATCAGAAAACGGGTTTAAGGTACTGTTGGAAATTGGGAATTGCCATCTCTCCATGTTGGGTCGCTTGAAATTACGCTTATAGTCCCTGTAACAAAAATAATCCATGAAATAAGTACACACCTATTCAGACTTCCGGCTTTTTCCTTCTCAACCCGTTTCCATGCTTCCATATTAGATGCTGAACTTTTCCGGTCTAAACTGTTACTTCCGGTGCTGTCTACGTCACTTCCGGTCTCTAAATTGTTCAGTTTAAATATTAATAATTTAATTTTAAAATTATGTAAGATGGATTTTGCTTTTGTTTGATTGAATCCTTTAATCGATTCCTTTATAAAATATAAAAACAAACGTTATATTAACCCCTTGAATATCTTGGCTAGCTCTATAGCAGTCCAACAGAAATATCTCCTAGGGCTAACCCCTTGAATATTTTTGCTAGCTCTATAGCAGTCCAACAAAAATATTACCTAGGGCTAACCCCTTGAATATTTTGGCTAGCTCTATAGCAGTCCAACAAAAATATTACCTAGGGCTAACCCCTTGAATATTTTGGCGAGCTATATAGCAGTCCAACAGATATATTACCTAGGGCTAATCCCTTGAATATTTTGGCTAGCTCTATAGCAGTCCAACAGAAATATTACCTTGGGCTAACCCCTTGAAAATCTTGGCTAGCTCTATAGCAGTTTAACAGAAATATTACCTAGGGCTAATCCCTTGAATATTTTGGCTAGCTCTATAGCAGTCCAACAGAAATATTACCTTGGGCTAACCCCTTGAAAATCTTGGCTAGCTCTATAGCAGTTTAACAGAAATATTACCTTGGGCTAACCCCTTGAATATCTTGGCTAGCTCTATAGCAGTTTAACAGAAATATTACCTTGGGCTAACCCCTTGAATATCTTGGCTAGCTCTATAGCAGTCCAACAGAAATATTACCTTGGGCTAACCCCTTGAATATCTTGGCTAGCTCTATAGCAGTCCAACAGAAAGGCATTCTGTATCTTCCCAATCTCTTACAGGCATCCATAGCCGTTGCTCGAACCTAGATACAAATAAAAACATTTTTTTTAAATTACATTCATGAAATTTTTTAAAATCTAAATGAGGCTCAGAAGTGTGAAAAAATATCCTTTTCATCATTGTACGTTTTGGGACAAAAAGAGTGGGTGAATATGAATATTACATATGATCTTTTTAATTTTAGTTATAATTACATTTCACAAAAATGCCACCTTTCACCTAAAATAAAATTTATTGCACAAATATCTTATACACTGTGAATTATGATTGTTCAAGAAAAATTAAACCCCTGTTTCAAATAAATAAAATTTGAACAAATCAATATGAGGCTCAGAAGTGCGCAAAGTTATCACTCCTAACATATTCAGGGGTACCCACAAAGCATAAGACTGTAAAGAAGACCTAAAACTCTTAAAATATACCGATGCCAGTCTTTTAATAGCTCATAAAGTAATTTAGCAAATAAAGAAACAAGTTTAAGTTGCGAGAATTCATAAATAAAAAAGTAACAGTCTAATAAATTCCGTACAATCGCCTCTGAAGTTGCGTCCTCCGAGGCTAACCCTGTATCTTACAGAAAGAAACATTTTTTGGGAGAAAATAGTGGGTAACTTTGAATATTACATATGACCTTTGAAATTTCAGTTATAATTTAATTTCGCAAAATTGTCTCTCTCTTTAGAAAGAAAATTATTTGCTAGTGCATTTTAGAACTAACCTTCTCTACATTTCGATCATCCTTGAGATATGGTTCTATAGCCTCGTTCATATCCCCCTGAAAACCAAACCAAACCATTTATGATTTAACAGCTGTTAACCAAACCATTCAATAATATAAATCAAACCAAACCATTCAACAGTTGTAAACCAAACCAAACCATTCAACAGTTGTAAACCAAGCCAAACCATTCAACAGTTGTAAACCAAGCCAAACCATTCAACAGTTGTAAACCAAGCCAAACCATTCAACACAGGTGTAAACCAAGCCTTACTATTCAACATTTTTAAACCAAACCAAACAATTCAACCGTGGTAAACCAAACCAGACCATTCAGCAGTTGTAGACCAAACCATACCGTTCAAAAGTTCTAAACCAAACCATTAGAAAGTTTTAAACCAACCCAAACCATTCAATATATGTAAACCAAACCATACTATTCAACAGTTTTAAACCAAACCAAACAATTCAACAGTGTTACACCAAACCATATTATTCAGCAATTGTAGACCAAACCATACCGTTCAAAAGTTCTAAACCAAACCATTCGAAAGTTCAACCCAAACCATTCAATATATGTAAACCAAACCAAACTATTTAACATTTGTAATCCAACCCATACTATTCAACAGTTTTAAATCAAACCCAGTTTTAAACCAAACCAAAAATTCAACAGTTGTAAACCAACCCAAACAATACCGCAGTGTAAACCAACCCAAACAATACCGCAGTGTAAACCAACCCAAACAATACCGCAGTGTAAACCAACCCAAACAATACCGCAGTGTAAACCACCCCAAACAATACCGCAGTGTAAACCAACCCAAACCATCAAACAGCCCACCAAAACTTCTGAAGATTAAAATTGTTGATGCTTGGTATTCCTGAAGAACTTTCTCAAGTTTAACCACTAGGAACAGATCCCAGGGCTGGCTGGAGATATCAAACACACACGACCTGAATGATTTTAAATAAACCTTTCACCAAAAAAAAATCACAGCATCTCAGGGTTCCGAATTGGGAGCCATGAAACTAAAAGTCAAGAAATTAATTTCCTTCCTTGTATTTGTGTCTTATAACATAACATTAAAAACGACTATTTTTTCTTTCTTAGGAAAACAATAAATTCTAAACAATCCCTTTAAAAAATCTAATTAACGAGCATAGGTGGAGATATCTAAACAATTTCTTTAAAAATATCTATTTGCCGAGCGTATGTGGAGATATCTGAACAATCCCTTTAAAAAAAAGAGTTACCGAGCGTAGGTGGAGATGTCTGAACAATCCCTTTAAAAAAAGTTACCGAGCGTAGGTGGAGATATCTAAACAATTCCTTTAAAAAAAAGTTACCGAGCGTAGGTTGGAGATATCCGAACAATCCCTTTAAAAAATTTACCAAGCAAGGTTGGAGATATCTGAGCAATGCCTTTAAAAAAACTAATTACCGAGCGTAGGTGGAGATATCTGAACAATCCTTTAAAAAAACTAATTACCGAGCGTAGGTGGAGATATCTGAACAATCCCTTTTAAAAATCTAATTACCGAGCGTAGGTGGAGATATCTGAACAATCCCTTTTAAAAATCTAATTACCGAGCGTAGGTGGAGATATCTGAACAATCCCTTTGAAAAAACTAATTACCGAGCATAGGTGGAGATATCTGGACAATCCCTTTAAAAAATCTAATTACCGAGCGTAGGTGGAGATATCTGAACAATCCCTTTAAAAAATCTAATTACCGAGCGTAGGTGGAGATATCTGAACAATCCCTTTACAAAAACTAATTACCGAGGATAGGTGGAGATATCTGAACAATCCCTTTAAAAAAAAATAATAACCTAGCGTAGGTGGAGATATCTGAACAATCCCTTTACAAAAACTAATTACCGAGCATAGGTGGAGATATCTGAACATTCCCTTTAAAAAATCTAATTACCGAGCGTAGGTGGAGATATTTGAACAATCCCTTTACAAAAATCTAATTACCGAGCGTAGGTGGAGATATCTGAACAATCCCTTTACAAAAACTAATTACCGAGCGTAGGTGGAGATATCTGAACAATCCCTTTAAAAAACTAATTACCGAGCGTAGGTGGAGATATCAGCATAGTCAACATGTCCAGACAGCATTTTCTTTACACTCTCACTGTTCATATCAAAGTAGAAGTTCTCACTCATCTTTCTCTTTTCCCTAGATATGCATTTTTAAAACAAATATAAGTTACAAACTAATTTAAGATCCAATCATGTTTTAAGTTAACCCCTGGATTTGTGCATTATGCAATATAAAAATTATATGAAGACACTTTAAAAAAAAATTGGGAAAACCTTCCAAGCAATATTAAAATAATTAATAATAAATAATAAAATATTAAGCGTTTCAGGAGAAAATATTTTAAAACCTCCAAATATAGAGGTTGTGGGAACATTTCCACACAATTCTAAAAAAAATTTAAAAAATAGAAATCAAAGGAAAAGGAACAGAAGGGAAAAGGAAAGTTACATATTTATTGTCTAATTATATTTATTATAAACTGGTGGTGGATTATTAGTATTTTTCGACGATGAACTGACAACTTTTAGAAAAAAATTTTAAATAGGCTTTATGGGTTGTGAAAAAGATATAGGTTCTACACAAAACGGGCATTTTTAAGCATCCTTTTCATTCGCGCCGATTTTTGACATCCTTTATGTTTGACCATATCTTTTATTCTTTTATTCTTTTCTTTGTAAAATCGTCTTTTCTTTCTTCGATTCTTTTGCAAACATAGAATGTGTTAGCATTAAAACATTTGTTCTGCTGATAAAAATCTTCAATTAAATTCTGTTTAAAATTCGAAATAAGATTGATATTTTGAAAGCTTGGAAAAGTGTCGTTTATTTTCATATTCATATTTTAGGGAACCTTCTTCACATTTTACTGTAACCCCTACCTTGCATCATAAAGCGCCATACTAGCAAACACCGGTTCCACGTCTTGCAGTGACAAGGACAGCTCCAGACATTTTACCAGGATACGGTGTCCCTGTAAACAGAAATCAATCCAACAATTCATTAATATATCAGTTATCAGTCATTAATATGTCAATCAATTGTTTAATAAAAGAATAAAATTTAAGGATGAATGAATGAGAGAATCAATCACTCAATCAGCCAACCTGTCAGCCAATTAATCAAGTTTTCAAACAATCCATAAATCAATTTATGTATTCAATCAACCAATCATACCATTAATACACCAATCCTCTAATCTACTTATTTATAAATTTTATTGTCAACAAAGTTAATAAATATTTAAAATTTGCAATGCAAGATGGATGTTTGTAAAGTTTATACAATTATATACCTGGATTTCTGCTGGCATATCAGCTACAGATCTTCGTTCGACCATAGTAAACTCATCCTACAAGAATCCAGGTTAAAACTTCTATTTCAATAACAGAATGATATCATTAAAACCAAAACCAACACTAAAAATGACTTAAAATTAACCGTTTATAAATTCAAAAGATAAAATTACTTGTTTGCTTCAAATTAAAAGATTTGACTTCTAAAAAATTAAGTTTACATTGAAGATTAGCACTTTCTCATTCAATAGTATACTTAAAAGATTTGACATTAAAAAAAATTTCCCCTTAGACCAAACTTTTACACTGCCTGCAAAAATCCCCAAATAACCAATAATGCCAATGGAGCTCATTGGTACACATTAACTACGACAGTAGCATTGCCACATGTCATGCTAACCCTGTGATCCATGTACTCCGGAGGGATATTAAGGATTGTTGGGAGAAGTGATTAGTTAGTGAGGCCAAAAAATCATAGAAGATAGCTTGGATAATGGGTAGCTTTGTCAGAATGTTTAAAGTTTAAGTATTGAACACAAACCTGTTCTGGGTAGAGAGAAAATAGTGCATCTGGTCTATTTTCTTGTCTCTTCTTATAGTTTTCTTCCTCAGAAAGATCAGGATCAACCTTCAAATATAAGACAGAATTTATTTTGAACTTACAACATAAATAATCCATCATCTAGATAAAGTACCTTGTCAAGAAGACCTGGTAAAAGATCATCAGGTTTAGATGTCCTCAGGTCAAAACTAGCCCAACTCCCACGAGGTGTCTCTGAACCAGATTTGTTTTCATCCTAAAATGAAACAATGAAAACCCAGGAGTAAATAACCCTGAAGTCCTAGTGCCCTCAAGCATTTGTTTCTAAATCATCCCTGCTTTTTCCCACTTATCAGCTGGAGCTTCTGTGCTAAAGAATCTTCAGGTCTGTGTCTTAGCACAACATCTTCAAAGGTAGGAGTTGTTTCCTTAACAAATGTATCACTAAGCTTGACTTCTTTTTATCTAACAAGCATTTACTAAGCATTTGTATTACCCCATCCATTTGTGCAACTAACGTAGAATCAGACTCAAAAGACTCTGTCATTATGTTCAATGGACTTTCATCAAATGGAGTAGACTTCATTTTTACTTTTGTCGTTACAACATTGGACTTGAAAATCTCTTGAATTTCATTGCTTGGAGTTTCACAACGATCGACTTTAAAGTAAGGTTCAAAGAATGAGGAATTTGAATCTGTTGAAGCTATCGATATTCTGTCATCTTCCTGACTTAGCATCCATGACACCTTTTTAGGCTTCTAAAAATGATATTTTATAATACTTCTTATCCACATGTGCATTATATATCATCATACCTTAATTGAAACATTTCTAAAGTGCTTTTCTGAAGTTGATCTTAAATTCTTAAATGACAATCTTCGTTCCTTCTCCTCATTTGGAGCTCTCTCCTATACGGTGATAATAACTGGTTTAATTCAGAACTATCTAAAATTTCTCTTTTGATAGATATGTTAAAATATCATTTAGCATTAGCGATTGAGATTTATATCCAATAAACAAACTTTAAAATGGAGGTTTAATTTCTTGAATCAGGAAAAGACGAGCATTCTTGGCACCTTTGAGATTTCCTGCCTCTGTCAACTTGATATGTACCCCACTAGTTATTTTGATTACAGAGTTACTACACAATAGTGTTATCCTTTCGTTACCTGAACCCTCCTAAGACTACTAGAGGTTTTCAAGGAATTTCTTCTTTTTTGACTTTCCTTTGTGCTAGTGCTGACAAAACCTTATTATATTTAATTCAATTTATGGGTGACCTTCTTTGTTTCAAAATCTGGTCTACTACCTTCACTCTTGACTGAACCAGTATCATATTCAATGATAGACTCATTAGAGTTTAACAAAGAGGATTTAGAGGAGGCAGTTGCTAATCTCCCCCTAAGAGAGCTATGATATCAAAATAGTATTTGGAAAATTCTAATGGTTCTAGGAATAAGATCTTCAAGTAAAGAATTTATATTTAGAGTAAACATAAATTTCCATGGTAAAATAAAAAGAGGAATATTTTCCAAGAACCATGGATTTTTCCCAAACTTTCTTATATGAAGCAAGGTTTGCTAAGCATAGATTGGTAAGCTTTTCTAAACTGAAATATAATATGGAAATTGAACTCTTATCAACTTTAAACTTTCAAAAGATTGTCAACATTAGCTTTCGAACATTAGTTTGTTAGAAAATTGAAAATTGAGCCTCATCAATAAATATGAATCTTACTTACAATAAATATAAAATTTCAGTTTCCGTTAGTTAACTTCACCTGAGCAACGTCTCACTACTATTACTACTCCTTCTAAAATTTCTCATTTTTCCACTACGTTTCTGAGCCTAGGTTCACTTTCTGTCAGAATTTGTTTACTTAATCTAATTAATTTTGTTCAATAATGATATCTTATAATAATAATAAAGCTATCAGCTCCTAAGTAAAGCCCAGAACACAGCATATTTAAAAAGAAGCAACGTAATGTCCAGAATGAATCAAGGTTTACAATTATCAACCTGTCACTTTTAAATCTAAGATCTTTCAAGATTTAGAGTTGGATTTATAATTCTTAAACATTTGAATTTTCAAAACAACATAAACTCATGTAAACCCTAACTATCTGAGTAGAGCTATAATGCGGCTTGAAATAATTGGGAAGTTGCGGCTTGGGAAATTGTACATTTAGGAACATTTGGGACAATAAATACCCTAGGGAAGTTGCTTCTTGGAAAAATGCTTTTGGGCAAGTACCTAACATCTTCCCAACCAAACATAGAAAAAACAATTATATCCATTTTGTTCAGAACCAGAACTTTCACACACTGCACTTTATTTTGCAGAGCAAAAAAGTGTAATTATTTATTTTTTAAATGCTGTCTCAGTTGGTAAGTTTATGAATATATCTTTTAGAAATAAAATTACAATCAAAATTTAAATACAAAATTTAAATCACCCTGACACTGGGTAGTTTTATGTAATAAGATAAGACTACTAATACTCACGTCTGGGTACTGAGGAGAAGGATCAGGGGTATCATCAACCTAAGAAAGAAAAAGTAACAACTACTTGAATTGTATTATTCTTTAAATGATAAGATTTACAAACCTATACTTCCTCAATGCAGGGGAATATTATGCATATTAACAACCCCTTGAATTAAGTGAAAAAATTCACTCTGTTCACAAAAGCTTCATTTTGAACAATTAAACATTTTCCTGACCAAGGGTTCCTTAACTAATTTAGCATGTAAGAAACCCCTTATTACGTTCAGAATGTTGTAAAGGAAAATTTAGTCCTTATTGTAGCTATTGATCCATTGTAGCATGAAGACGACCACTGTGCAATTGATTCGCATACTTAATAAAACTTGCTCAATTACTACACCACCCCATGGCCTTTGAAGTCCAAGAAAATTTGGTCTTTGTATCCCTTAGTATGGTTAGGGCTAGGATTCGTTCTTGAAGAATGATCGTTCATTCACAAGAACGAACGGAACTATCAAGAACAATCCCATAGTTTTGAAAAAAGAACGAAACGCGTTCTTAAAACATTGGAACGGAACAGATATTAGCTTAAAAGAACGTTTAACATCAGGAACACATTCTTTTTATCAAGAACGCATTTTAAGTCAGGAACGGATTTCAAATCAGAAATGTGTTCTAAATCATCTAGAAATAATTAATTCTTGGCTAAGAACAGAACAGGGAATGAATAGGTTCTTGACTAAGAACGGAACAGGGGGATGGAACCGTTCTTTTACTAAAAATACCAAGAATGGAACAGAACAGGATGATTGTTCCTAGAATAAGAACAGAACAGCACGGAACGAGATCGGAACATATGGAAAAAAAGGAACAAGAACAGAACGATCTAGCTGAAGGCACTAATTCTCGAACGGAACAGAATGATTTCAAAAAAGTCGGAAAGTGCCCAGCCCTAAGTATGGTATAATTGCCTTAACTTTTCTAAAATAAATCTTAACAATATGAAAGATTTTATTTCAACAAATTAAATTTATCACCTCAAATTCCTGTTTCTGAATTGTATTCAAAATATGGATTTTCTCTTCTCCTCGATCCCTAAATAACAATAGATTAAAATCAAACTAGGTGAAAAGCCCAGCTTTCACTCTTAATTATAAAATAATCTAATTATTGACAAAAAAAAGAATTTATAAATATTTCACAATGCGCCATAAAGAAATGTGAAGAGATAATAATAGATTACATCGTTCCATAATCCATATAGTGCAAAAGATTGTGTTAATTGTAACTAATAGATTATCTAACCTGATGGTAACACTGCTACTATACTGCTTATATTATCTGACCTGATGGTAACACTGCTACTATACTGCTGATATTATCTGACCTAATGGTAACAATGCTACTATACTGCTGATATTATCTAACCTAATGGTAACACTGCTACTATACTGAGGTATTATCTAACCTGATGGTAACACTGCTACTATACAGCTGGTATTATCTAACCTGATGGTAACACTGCTACTATACTGCTGGTATTATCTAACCTGATGGTAACACTGCTACTATACTGCTAAAATTATCTAACCTGATGGTAACACTGCTACTTTACTGCTGGTATTATTTAACCTGATGGTAAAACTGCTACTTTGTATACTAATATTATCTAACCTGATGGTAACACTGCTACTATACTGCTGATATTATCTAACCTAATGGTAACACTGCTACTATACTGCTGGTATTATCTAACCTGATGGTAACACTGCTACTATACTGCTGGTATTTCCTTGTAACTACAACCCAGTCCGAGGTGTAGCAATCAACACAATTCTGCACTTTAGGATCCAGCTCCTCACTAGAATATTCATTGATTGATGGATTAATTAATTTGTTAATTGATTAGTTCATTTATTGATTGGTTGATTAATTGATAATTTGTTTAATTGTTTTATTACTTGGTAGTTGATTGTTAGGTTAATTGATTGTTTGTTTAATTCATTGCTTGGTTAATCAACTGATTAATTAATTAATTGAATATTTATATAATTAAGTAATTGGTTGTTAAATTGATTGTTTAATGATAGATTGGTTAACGAATGATTAGTAAATGATCAAATGGTCACTTGGTAAAATGGTCAATTGGTTAATTGTTTAAATAATTGACTGGTTAATAGGCAGATTAGTCAATTTATTGATTGATAGGTTCAGGAGAGTCAATGAGATTAATTTTTAAATCAAATAGATCAATTTAGTTATCAATTTGACTTACTATGGTTCCTCTGGCAGTACATGCTGAACAGTTCTGATTTTTCGAGGAACAATATTAACCTCCAGATCCTCAGGGGGAAATTCAAGCATCTAGAAAATCAATCAAAAAATTTTATTTTTATTTTTACTTCTTCTAAAACTTAGGATTTTACTTTAAGCATCTTGGAACGTCCTTTACAGACTTGAAAAAAAATTTAAAAAATTAGTTTACTGAAGACAAAATTGGAATGTGTTTTTAAAAAATGAAAATGAAAAAAGTAATACTTGAATTTTAAAATATTTTGGTCTTAATCATTAAAACGTATTAATATTCCCAAAACATAAACACAAATTTTTCTTAAAATCCGAATTAAAAATATCAAAAATTCATTTTTGCTCTTAGTTAAAAATATTTTAATATTGTTTGGGGAAAAATAGTCTTTAAGGGATTTTAGCTATGACTTTTTAACAATATATCTAACCCTGAAAATATAAGACAAAATCTGTTAAATATAATATAAAAAATTGCAGTCTTCCCCCATGAAGATGGGAGGTTCATGATATTATGTATTTGAAGAGTATTTATATATGATTATAGCCTATTATCACAACATTATTATTTTTCATAAAAAGTTCACCTATCGCTTAAATAATAATACATTATTGTGAATTAGTATGAATTTTAGTAGGTTTTTATTACTTTCAATTTCAAAGCCCCAAAAAAGCAACAAAAAAAAACAATAAAACTGGGCTGGTTTTTTGTAAACCCGGTTTTTTTCTAACCCTGCACACGCCCGAATGCAAAGGGTAACATAGTTGAAGGGGGGGGGGGGTGACCAACATGGGATAAAAAGGGGGGGGGGTTGACCCACCTGGGATAAAGGATCTCGTTCACTATGATTGGAAACATATTCCTCGTAATCTATAGGTTCCAGACCAACACTTTCAGATACAATAGTGTGACTGCTAGAGGTGGAGGACATCGGCCTGATAATTATTAAAATTAAACATTTTAGTTAAAAAAACTAATAGAACTAAGAATTTGAATCAGTATTGAGCTTAATTTAAACGCATTCTGGAGTCATTTTGTCCAATGTAGATGGCAAAACAATTCCAGAAAAAATGTACAAACCAAACATAAATAGAAAAAATGTTCAGTATAACTCAAATCATTTCTTAAACTTAAAGTGTTAAATCCCAATTATTTTTCAAAGTTAAAATTACAAGTAAAAGTCAGTAAATCCATAACTTTTTATTTGAACAGGCTTACCAAAACCTTCTTTGCTGAGGAATCTGAAAAAATTTACTGAACCTGGATCTGTTGGATGATACAGACGTTCTCCCAATACCGGCCATAACATTGCTACTACTCCCGGCAGTATGGGCGACATGTTTTCTTATATTCCCGGCAGGTTCCCTATAATAATAACATTACTACTGCTTCCGCTAGTATAGGCGACATGTTTTAATATATTCCACGCAGGTTCCCTACAATTATAATATTGCTACTACTCCCGCCAGTATGGGCGACATGTTTTCTTATATTCCCAGCAGGTTCCCTATAATAATAACATTGCTACTATTCCCGCCAGTATGGGCGACATGTTTTCTTATATTCCCAGCAGGTTCCCTACAATTATAATATTGCTACTACTCCCGCCAGTATGGGCGACATGTTTTCTTATATTCCCAGCAGGTTCCCTATAATAATAACATTGCTACTACTCCCGCCAGTATGGGCGACATGTTTTCTTATATTCCCGGCAGGTTCCCTACAATAATATTCCTTCTACTCCCAAGAACATGTCTTATATTTCCGTCAGATTTCCTACAATAATATCATTAACATAAATACAAACCTAATAATCCGAGTAGAAAATGCGCGTTGGTTACCGCTCGACATTTTAGTAGATTTGCGTCATCTGAAATTAGATGATTACATCATACATTGTACAGAAATATTGAGACTGAGTATTAACTAATAATTATGCTATACCATATGAATTGTGGCTATATAGTATTAAGATTAAGCTTTACGTATGAGTTTAAACGTATATATATAAAATTACATAAAACATTGAATGTTACATTGAGAATAGATGAAGGCAACAATAAGTATAATATGAAAGATCTGTATAATATGTTCATATACTTTCACCTAGGAAAGCAAGTGATATATGAATTTACTCAAAAGAAAACATCCCGAGATATAAGCAAAAAAACTGCAATGGTTAAATGTTACGAAAGACATATTAAAATACAAATATAGAAAAGTAAAAAATGTTTTCATTAGACATATTTCTATTTTGTGTATATTGCTTTGGCATAATTTTGGGTTTTAACGAACTGTTGTGAATTGTTTAAGGCACTCTTACAAGTAAAAAAAAGCTCTAATTTTAATTACTTACGGACGAAAAGCACAAATAAATAATAATAAATGTTAATTTTTTAAATATATATTAATGCCCAGAGGAAATAAGCCGAAGAACTGCATAATAATTGATAACAAGGATTTGATAAGAAACTCAATGTATAATTGCGAGCAGAAAGGGGGGCTGCCGATAGAAGGGGGGGGGGGCATATTCAAGAAATTCAAATTGTAGTGGAGGGTGATTTTTTCAGAACAAAATTAAAAGACTTGTTTTGTAATAGTGCTCAAAGAACAGTTGTTAAAAATGTATAAATAATGCAACTCATTGGGTTGTGTCTTTCTTTTTTATCAAAATAGTAAACTTGGGATTATTATCTTTTTTACCAATAAAAATAAAGTTAATAATGGAAAAGCTCTTTAGTTTTGAATTTGATTTTTTTTGGCAAAATATCTTATTTTTTTTTCAAGATTTAAAGCTTAGTATCGGGATGTTCCAAGCCAGGTTAGCCTAATACACTTAGAAAATAATAACATTCGAAAGGTTTTAATAAGCTCTGCTGGAGTTGCTGGGTAAGCCTTTGACAAGTTTAAATGAAAAATTTAAAAATTTGGATGACTTGCATGAACTCCACAGGCGGTGCCATGTAATTATGTTACAAGGAGAAATTAAAACTGTTAGAATTATTTCGAGGACTCCGATGGCGGTCCTTAGTAGCTCCGAAAGTAGTGTCAAGTAAACATATTACAAGGAGGAATTAAAACTTTTAGGATTGTTTCCCGGGACTCCGAAGGCGGTAATGAAGATGTTGATGAAGATAACAAAGCAAACCAGGATAGCGATTGCCAGGTTGTACTTGTGACACCGGACATAGTCATGCTTCCTAAATTATTATTGAAATTCACAAAAATAAAATGCATATTTTCATGAAATAAAATAAAAGCAACTTTTTTAGAACACGTTTTGTTGATATTTTCCCCCCCATTCTTGCAGATCCAGATCAGTAGGCCAAGTTATTTATAAATCATAAGAATCCGGATCCCAATTGCGCTGCAATTCTTAAATATGTTTACAAGGCTATCTATTTTCTAGAATAATAATTTTCTTCCCTTTAGCAAATAATTTTTAACATTATATTAAGAATATTATTAATTGATAACTTACTTGCAGGTCATCCTTTCAATCACAAGAAGAAGTGTAGCGATCACTTGAAGGAGGATCGAAACAGCGATCATAGAGGCCAAGATAGTGCTAGAATTAAAAATGTTAAAATAATGTAGAGTAAAATAAATTGAATAAATCAGAAATATGTTTTAAAAAGTTCTACTGTTTAAAGCAATTCTTAAGATAACTGATATTTTTTTGATAAAAGGGGAGGGGGGGGGTCAATTTTGTTTTAATGTTTGTACCTATACGGAACTGGATATTCAAGCGCAGTCCGGAGTTGGTTTGCATTGGCTGAAATCAAAGCAATATCCATCAATCCCTGCCAGAAAAATATTAATGCAAAATTTATTAGATTATTTTACAGATGGTCTGATTATGAGGAAAAGGCTCTTTTATCTAATTTATAACGCTAACATTTATTCTATGTATCTATGTCAATCTTTAGTGCAAACTATTGGTAGTGCCGTTACCCATCAAAAAAAGGTGCTTAAAAGCGTTTTTAATGTGCGTCCTAATTATATGTGCGTCCTACTTAAAGTGTCCGAAAACGTTAATCAGCTCAAGTTCGTCCTCCTGGTAAATAAATGTACCAGTAAATTGTTAAAAAGTCCTCTTTTTCTAGTACAGATTAAATGTTCAGTGTTTTGTATGCTTGATAAATCAAATTTCGTGCACCCAATTTTATCTCTAATTAGCTATAGTTATATTTTAAAAAGTTTTGATTTGATGACCAAAGTCTTGTCCTTTGTAAGTAAACCTGTACCTTTGCGTATGATTTGTAATCTCCCATTTTCTCAAGATGAGTTGATTCATCCAGATATCCATCATCAGTCTGCTGGGTCTCAGTTGCTTGCTGCTGAGAGAGCCGCTGAAGTAAATATTTTATTAATATCAATATCGGATTCCGTCCTAGTTAACGATTATTGACCCCCGCCCATCAATTGGCAATTTCCTAGAGGACGCTTTTAGGACCCCGCCCTAGCCTGTCATAGCTGCGGCGATCGACCCTCTAGCCTGTCCTAGCCGCAGCGCTCGGCCCGTAAATTGTTCTGCACTAACCTAATTTAGTACTAGCCAAAGTGCCAAGCGTTGCTCGTGGTAATAAATTAAATAGTGAAGGAGATAAAAATTCGATTTTTTAAGCTTTTGTTACCCCACAATACGCATGGGTTTCCTCAAAACATTTCAGCCAATTTGGTTTAGCTATATTTGTCCAGCTATAGCTTTCATATAAATCTATAAATATCTGAGCAAAGATCTTAGGGTATAAACTTAGAGAACGATTTTTGGCCCCCCCCCCCCCTCCTATCAATTTTGTACATGGATCTCGTAAGGAACACATGGATATAATTGGTGATGTGGCCGCGGCCCTCTAGCCTGTCGTAGCCGCAGCACACGCCACAGTAAAAATTGCTATTAATAAGCTTGAGTATAAGATAATAAGCTTTGATGCATTTCGGAAATCATTTCATAAAACTCGATCGTTTTCTTAATTTTACATTTTCCCCCACTTTCTTGATATCAGCCCTGCGACTGGATAAGTTCAAACCTATTTAAGTTCACAATCAAGTTTAAATATTCACCTCATTTTCTTCAGCAGTCCCGTTGTCACCTCTCATCGCAGAAATCAATTAAATATAAATATTTACTTACACTTACGAATTTTAAAATTTGTTTTGATAAATAATGCAAGTTTACGGGGGATTCGTACTTACGGATATAATCAATCAACCAACCGTTCTACCTTCTCCACCAAACTATGTACTTTTCCGTCTTTTGAAAATCTCGTTAGGAATATTCGCAAAAGTAAGTCAGCCATTAAAAATTGTAATTATTAGACTATTTATTTCTTTGAAAGTTTTATTGTCAACTAAACTGTAAAATATATTGCTCAAATCTACAGTTTAAAAGTTCAAAAAGACCAAAAAAAATGTCGTAGTTCGGATGGTAAGTCACCTGAAAGAAAGAAATTTTAAATGAATTGCGGCATTCAGATCAGATGCGCGTATCAAAATATTTTTGTAATTAAAATCCCAAAAATTTCGTTTGACAGTTTTAGTGGATACTAAAAGCATTTTATCAATAAAATTGTATTTGAGATGCTCGCATTTTAATGCATATAGAAATAAACGTTAATCAATCAATCAATATCAATACAATTATTAATAAAAACGGTAATTTTTCCTGAAGTGTATATGCTTAATTGACACTACTACTACTCATTATGTAAATGCATCTCGCATAAATTTTTAAAATATAAATCGAATTCAGATTATGAAAGATGGAGGATACAGGAAGCGATGCTGAAGATTTAATCGGGGAAACCGTTTGCATTTGTGGGAAGGTAATTATTTTTTACAACTACTTTACAGGGAACTTATTTACTTGGGATAAATAATATGTTATATCCCATGCGGCAACATATTTTAAATTCCCAGTGAAAAATTGGTAAATAGTTCAAAGTGGACCCACTCAATTTATAATTTTAAAACAAAGCTAAAAACATGCCTATGGTTCTCCCTAGTTCCCAATCAACATTTGAGTCAAATCGCTCAAGGGTTCCTGAGTTGTTTGGACATATAAACAAACAAACAAACAGTAAAGTATGTGGGGGGGATGGGGGGCCTCTTGTGTCATGACCATCTCACCTGGCGACGGTCTGAGGGATATATTAAGTTTTGTTTGTATTTAGGTTTACGAAGATGATGTGTTCATGATACAGTGCGACATTTGTCGGAATTGGCTCCATGGAGACTGCATCAAGGTCTGAAATAATAATGAATGCGTAACATTAAAGGGATGCAGATGTAATTCCAAACGACCCTCTTTTTTATTAATGGCATGTCCGATTCACAATGATTCCTGAGCATCAATTTCCCTTTTTTTAAATGTGTTGAATTCTGTCGATTTCATTTTTGTTCTTAAATCCGAACGCCATTTTTAATTAATGAATAAAATCAAAATTATCAATTTTCAGATAAAAAAGTAAAACACGAATATCTTTTTGTTTATTTCCCTATGTAGGTTTAAAGACTACCATTTTGAATCAGATATATGAATTTTTTAATTTAAGATTACGTCTGCAAACTCGGATGAGAATTGTTATCAGATGTTCTTAAATAACAAAAACTTAATGATATACTATGAGCTCAGTTTTGAAAGCTATTATATCTTAAATGGACAATTTTAACGTACAAAAAAGATTTCTTCACGCTTCCCATTATATGAAAATTTAGATGGCCTGATTGGCACTGAGGAAGATGACATTTAAGCAGTCTTATGTGCATTTGATAATAGAATAGTTTATTTTCTAGTAGAGCCTAAAAAGAAACTTCAGTTGAAGTGAAATGGGTCTGTGTACACTGCACAATTTCTGTTTTTGTGTCATCTTAATGTATCATATTTTTAGATTGACGAGCTAAGTTCGTCAGATATAGACAAGTACCATTGTCCAACATGTGAACCCCTCTGCGGACCTTCTATTATGAAGGTTATCTATTTTCTACATCTACTAACTACGTTTTGTTTTGTATGTTTGGACGTTCTATTTGTCAAAATGAGTGAACCAATGTTTTATAAAACTTAATTAATGTTTTTGTGCAGAAAAAAAAGCACTCCCAAAAATTGCCTTTTTTATAATTTTGAACCAAAGAATGCCTTTTTTATAGAACCAAAGATTGCCTTTTTTATAATTTTGAACCAAAGATTGCTTTTTTTATAATTTTGAACCAAAGATTGCCTTTTTTATAATTTTGAACCAAAGATTGCCTTTTTTTAATTTTCTACCTAAGATTGTTTTTTTGTAATGTTAAACAAAGATTGCCTTTTTTAATTTTTAAACAAAGATTGCCTTTTTTATAATTTTAAAAATTAACTAAAGAAGTTTGGATAATCTGTGTAACTGTTAATTGCCATTTCTTGTTAAAATCAGTGCTTAGGATCCGGATCCGGATCCGCTGGATCCGCATTATTTTGGCTCTTTGGATCCGGATCCGGATCCGCAAAAAAATGCGGATCCACGGATCCGGATCCAAGCACAATTTTATTTTTTAAAATGTGCAAAACAGCTTTAATTTTCAATAAAAAAATGTTAAAATGTTTAACATTTTTTTTAGGTATGAAAAGACATTTGAACTAAAATAAAAATTTTTTTTGATCAATGACCTGGATCCGGATCCGGATCCGGATCCGGATCCGAATCCGGATCCGTTTTTTTGAAAAGCGGATCCAGGATCCGGATCCGGATCCGCATCAAAATTAAATGGATCCTAAGCACTGGTTAAAATATACTAAAAAATACTAATATTTTTGGCTAAGGGTATATTATTGAAAATCTTTTTCCCTAGAACTCTCTGTCTGTCTGCTAACCAAAAACGATCGAGGTCTGCTTGACTATCCTTACTCTATTTCTATCTGTTTATCTTATCTATCTTATCTATCTGTAGCTATCTGTCTCATCTATTTAACATATCTAATCTAACCTAACTATCTATCAGGTTGAAACGAACTGGCACCGACATGATAAAACTGATCCTCAGGCCACATATAAACCTCTTCAGGTATATTCCATTCTCATTTATGTTTATGTTAGGATTATTTTCAGGACTCCTGGCGGAGTATATAAGAAAATTTCCGATTGTTGTCATGATATTCATATGGTTGCATATATCACAAATAATATACAGAGTATATTATTCAATAATTACGAATATCCAGTGAATCAAGATTAAAAATAAGGGACATTTATTTTTTTCTTTTGGTAGAGTTTTTATTTTTTCTCTTCCTTGACATTTTTTTTTTTTGACATGTTTTTTTAAAAAAAATTCTTAGATTATTTTTTTTCTTATTTGGCCTTTCTGTTTTCTTTTAAAGTAATCTTTTTTCGGCTCTTATTGTCTATACACTTCAGTATACACTTCAGTATACACGGATGACACATTTTAGAGAACTAGGCTTTCATGGTGCTTTGCCCCCATCTTCTATTTCTATTGTAAACATTTTCTCTTTGTCTACAATATAAAACAATAACAAACAAAAAAAAATCTAAATATCTTTTGGTGGATTTTCAAACTTTTATGAAAATCTTATTTTGATGGAGGCAACGTTTTGAAATTTTGATCATCCATAAACCTTCCCTTGGGTCACGTGAGGTCCCACAAAAAATGTTGGCCCATTCGGTTAAGCCGGTTTGACGTTTATTATATAAAAACAAAAAACAAACAGACAAACAAACAAAGTATATATAGAAGAAATACTCAATACTAAATAGATAATCCCGCAGTCTACCCGAGTTTAGTAGTAAATTACTATTTTAGCTATTTTTCCCTGTAAAAGTTGACCCACTAAACTCAGAATCTCAAAACCAAGCTAGAACATTCTCGTGGTTCTTCCGAGTTCCCCAATCAAAATTTGAAGCAAATTGGTCAAGGGTTTCATGAGTTATGATCAGAAATACAAATTGACAGACAAACCGAGATTACAACTTAATATATATAAATACTTGACAAATATTTATGTTAAGGTTGGAACAAAATTATTTGTTGACGAATTATCGAAAAGGATTTTTTCTACTGCTGATGATATCATTATGAAGGTAAGCAATAGGATCCACCCATTCAATTCTAGTCAAATTTCTTAATATTCCCGCCAAAATTGGAAATTAAAAAAAAATATAAACATTGCAGTGTGATAATTTTATAATTGTATGCAATAAGTCACAAAGATAAAACGTATAGTTGAAACTCATTTTAAAAATTGTCACTTAGATTTAATGTAAAGTGGGACAACCTTTGGTTAGAATAGCGCTGAGCCATATAAACTATACTTGATATCAAAGGCGTAAAATTTTAAATTAAAGAGTTTTAAGTTTAACTGTGGGATAAACGTGAAATCCACATCAAAATTATTTAAAAAGTGATTTAAAAAGAACTGGCTCAACAGTGGCGTATTCAGAGGGGGGGGGCAATTGGTACTCATCCCCCCCCCGTAGAACATTGAAATCTATGGTTTTTAGGGGGGGTTTTGGGCCCAAATGGGAGCTTATTGCTTAGCCCCTCCCCCCACCTAGAAAGAAAAAAGGCAAGCCCCTCGCTGGACTAATTCCTGAATGGCTGTGTCCATTAAAATCCATAAGTTTTGACCTTCTGTGTTATAGGTATCAGGGAAGCAGTTGACCCTGCCTTACTTAAATCAATCAGGGTTCAATCATCCTATCCTTGTAACGGATAAAGATGGACTTACGATGACCACTCCGCAGGTAAAAAAAAACGCAAAATAAAAAAAACAAATCACAAGTGTTTTAAATGTGAAGGTGATAATTCCGTGTGATAATTCCGTTGCATTAACACTAACCTAATGTTTTGTGTTCTTTTCTAGTAAAAATTTTTATTATCTCCCTGTTTTCAATGGTTCAGATTTGGGTTTTGAGGGTAAAGATTTGTTTTCTGCAGTTTTTGGTTGATATTTTTCCCCTTGAATCCGGACCCGTGGATCTGCATACTTTTGCGGATCCGGATCCAGGAAGCCAAAATCTTGCGAATCCAACGGATTCGGATTTCGGATCCTAAGCACTGATTTAGGCGTAATTTTCTCTCTTTAAAATCATTAACCCCCCCCCCCCTCTCTATCTCTCTCTTTCATTCTGAGGGTAAGGTGATTTTAGACAGAGCTTTAAAAAAATCTAGATTCAAATACAACGAAGGTTGATACGGAATAATTTTATTTTAATAAATGAATGGTTTATTTTTTAGGCTGGGTTCAATATTGACAGGATTTGTGATTATCTTGGAGACGGTATTTATTCATCTATTCATTTAGTCCTATAATCCTATATTGTCCTATAGTCCTTTGGTACTATAGTCGTTTTGTTCTTTAGTCCTTAAGTCCTTTAGTCCTCAAGTCCTTCAGTCCTCAAGTCCTTTAGTCCTCCAGTTTTTTAGTCCTAAAGTAAATTAATTCTTTATTCATTTAGTCTTTTAGTCATTTAGTCATTTAATCATTTCAATTTCGACATACTTACTTATTCATCTGATCATTTGTTAACTTGGATCTTTTGGATCATTTGATCTTTCAATGATTTGTTTTATTATTGTTTTTTTTCTAAAATATTGTATAGTCTTCCAGTTTCAAAGTTCGTAATAAGAAACTTAAAATGTTCTCTGGTTATAAATGTTGATTGATTGATCGGATTTGTGTTTAGATTATCCGTTGGATATAATAGATGTGCACAGGCAGCAAGCCTGCCAGATGTCTCTAGCGCAGTTTGCCGCGGTCTTCAATACGCCTTAGTGAGTTTTTTTTTTTTAACAAAGGGACAGTAAACCTAACTTTTAAGGGCCCTTGCGTTAAAAGTTTGGCACGGTTGACACTCAGAAATACCCTTTTTAAGCTTTGTCTTATCAACATTAAATGAGACATTCATACACAGAAACAATGGAGGAAATTGTTAAAATTAAACAGTTTTCTGGTCTGAGAACAATGATATTTTTTCCATTTTTTAATCAAAACAAATGACAAATTTTGAAAGAAAGTTTTTTTTCAGTCCAGACCGAGTTTTAAACTGCCTTAGTTTGGAGGTCTCAGAAACAGGAATGGCGGATCCGGATCCGAATCCGGATCCGTTTTTTTGAAAAGCGGATCCAGGATCCGGATCCGGATCCGCATCAAAATTAAATGGATCCTAAGCACTGGTTAAAATATACNTTGTTTTTACTTTAATTCTCTTTTCAGTAATGTTTCGAGGGACCGAATTTAATGAATTTGAGCTAGGTCGCTGAGATACCAAATTTCGGTTCAAATTTAAACCACCGATTCATGGTAAAGAGTAACGATGAATTTGAATCGGTGATTTTAATTTGAACCGTTAGTTTAAATTCATAAAATTTGGGCCAAGTTTTTATATTTCTTATTTAAAGGTATTCTCTCCTCCCCTGGTTGCTCGGAAGCTGTGCTGGGTCAATAATGTTTGGCCTTCAGGGTCATCGCTACCTTACCCTAAACCTCAGGTAAAGTTTCGAAGGAAATGAGTTGTATAATTTTTAATTATCTACATATTACTTCAACAGTCCCAACTTATGAAACTTTCAGAAGGTTACCCACAAAGAGTGAGACTTCAGAGCCGACCTAAAACTCTTAAAATATTACGATCTTATGACTAGATTAAGACTTTTGCCTTAATTTGAGTTTTTTATCAGTTTTTTATATGATTTATCAAAAAGGCAATAAGTTTAAAGTTGCCAGGAATCCGGAATATAATGAAACAGTGTAGATTCCGTCTTCTACGTCTCATCCTTTGTCGGTAACCCTAGATGTACTATTGTAACTACTGTACTAGAATGCTTGTAAATATGATTTTACAAATATTCAAATATGATTGATAACACGATAATCACAAAATATCCCTAGTCCTACCATTTCCAAAATGTGGTCTGCCCTTCTTGGCTTTCAAAATTACCTGAGATATAATGAGATTTGGTTAGATTTAATTTTTATTTAATACAACGAAAATTTTCTAATTTTGAATGAAATTATTCATATCTCCAGTGATTTTGAACGCACAAAAAAGGCAGACCACATTTTGGAAATGACAGGACTAGGGCTATGTTGTCATAATTGTTAAATCAATCATATTTAAATATTTATAAAATTAGATTTCCACCTGAATGCCGCAAACTATTTCAAAGATGAAAGACGATAATAAAAGTCGTTTGATTAATTGGCAATTAATCCTGGGTCCTTCTATTTATGACTGTACTTCAGGTGCAGAAGTATTGTATAATGAGCATGGAGAATTCGTTTACAGATTTTCATATAGACTTCGGGGGCACTTCAGTCTGGTATCATGTCTATCAAGGTCAGCAGACATGTTTATATATTTATATTTTTTATATATACGGATATCTCTGTTTAACATTTTTCGCTGGCATCAGAAACGAGTAAACCACGAAATATTTATTTCATTCCTTAGAAAACGTCAACTTAAACCCTTCTTTTAATTGATAGATTAATTAACTATTAAAACATTTGTTTGCTCTCCTTTTGAATGACTTATTTCAAATGATTGATTCATTCATTGATTTATTGATTCATTGATTTGATTTTGAATTGACTCAATGATTGATTGATTCAATCATTGGCTGATTGATTGATTTATACTGATTGATGATTCATTGATTCATTGATTGATAAAGGTGAGAAGTACTTCTATTTGATCCGTCCTACCCCCGCCAATATTTCTCTTTATGAACGATGGACCAGACTTTCAACACAAAGTGAAACCTTCCTTGGTAAGATATTTTATTATTACATCCCCGACCTCACCCATTACACTGCTTCCTCCTCTCTACCCCCTTGGTTTTATGTACTTTCCCAAAGACATTTTCCCTAGAGTGACTTCCCAAGTGACAATTTCCCAATGGGCCACTTCCTAAATGTGCGATTTCTTTAGGGGCAACTTCCTAAAAGTTAGGTTAGGCCTTCTGAGGCGCCGCAGGATGCTATGGGGGGGCCGAGCACTGCGGCTAGTGCAGACTTGGGAAACTACACATTTGGGAAGCTGCCTCTTGGGAAAATAGCCTTGGAAAGTTGCCACTTGGGGAAATAGCCTTAAATAGCCTTGGGAAGCTGCCACTTGGGAAAATAAGCTTGGGATGTTACCGTTTGAGGAAAGACCTTTAGGAAAGTACCTAACATCCCTTCCTGGCCCCCTAACCTCTTACTCCCACAATTTAATTTAACGTCCTGTATATAATAATTTAAAAATTAATAACCTACAATCATTAAAATCCGGCCAAGTCAAGTAAAGTCAAGTAAACAATTTAAAAAAAGATTCTGACTTGATAAAATCTAAATTACATAAGTTTGATAAATTGAATATTTATTTATATTTATATAATAAAACAAGATATCGCATATATGTCCCTATAGCGGCCAAACGGCTGGACCAAATGGGCTGACATTTTTTGTGTACATAGGCTAAACAAAAATCTTTTTTTTTAAGTTAAAAAAATAATTTTTTTTACGGGTAACGCCGGGTCCTTAAGCTAGCAATTTATAAATTTATTTATTAAAGGGGACATGGTGGATCGATGCTACCTTTTGAAACTGACCCAGGGACAAACAATATTTATTCCGACAGGTATTAATTTATTCCGACAGGTATTCATTTATTCCGACAGGTATTCATTTATTCCGACAGGTATTCATTTATTCCGACAGGTATTCATTTATTCCGACAGGTTTTTATTTATTCCGACAGGTATTCATTTATTCCGACAGGTTTTTATTTATACAGACAGGCATTCATTTATTTCGACAGGTTTTTATTTATTCCGACAGTTACTATTACGTTACATTTTCATTTACTATTCCGATATGTGTTGCTTCATTCCGACAGATATTCCTATATTCCTATAAATATTCCGACAAGAATTCATTCTGTTCCGACTGATACTCATTTCAAACAAATATAAAGGTTTATTTATTCCGACAGATTTACCTATTTTCCGACAAGAGTTTGTTTATTCCGACATAAGTTCATATCTTTGTTTTTTAGATTTAATTTTAACTTGTTGTTTTTCTGTTTTATGATTTAATGATTGAGTGATTGATTGATTAATTGATAAATCTATTAACTGATTGATTGATTAATTGATAAATCTATTAACTGATTGATTGATTAATTGATAAATCTATTAACTGATTGATTGATTAATTGATAAATCTATTAACTGATTGATTGATTAATTGATAAATCTATTAACTGATTGATTGATCAATTGATAGATCAATTAACTGGTTGATTGATTAATTGATAAATATTAACTGATTGATTGATTAATTGATAAATCTATTAACTGATTGATTGATTAATTGATAAATCTATTAACTGATTGATTAATTGATTTCTAGGTTGGATCCACGCAGTGTATACCCCAGTGAATAGTATAGTTTTTGGAGGCAATTTCCTTCATTCACTCAATATCCAACTTCAGCTTAGGTAAACCAACTCTCATTGTGACAGTAGGGTTTATATTTTGTACGTTTAATGATAATGACAGAACCCTCGATTTTGATATAAATTTGTTAAGTTAATTGAAGCTTGGAGAGAGAAATAATAAATGCGTCTGCAACTTGCAAGATTGTTTTTTGGCCCGATACTTTGCTCTCAAATGCATGTTCAGCCAATATGTGAATATTCTTTTCAATCTTTCGTTCTAAAGTTCTACTTTTATCGTCCTTCTAAACATTGGGACTCGCGGAATCAAAATATACATACAGGCCACAGGGTGAGTCAAAATAAAAGTGTGATTAGCGGCGTTTGGTGCAAAATTGTGTTTTTTTTTGTTTAACTCCTGTAAGTTATTTTTTCAATATTTTTAGAATTTTTTTTTTGGTACTTAAATGGCCCAAAAAAATCCGCGAAACTTTTTTCTCTCTCAAAATCCAAAGTTCAGAAAAGCAAAAATTTGTATATATTTTAATTCTATCAAATTCTAAAATTTTGTAAATATTGAATAACAGAATTACAGAATATTCGAAATTTTTATATGGGAATTTGCAATTTCTAGTCCTGGTCTAATTTTTAAGAAAAGTTGTTTCTCAATGGCTCCTCAGTCCTCAGTTTTCATCGGAGCAGCTTATATTTATAACTTTAGAATATACTAAGAAAATAATAAAATAGAGGATTTAAAAAATTTTCTTGAAAAATTGCGAATATTCTAATTACAATTTTGCAAATTTTTTTTGATTCTGTGATTCAATCTTTATAAAATTCTTGAATTTGTTAGAAATGATATATCTACACATTTTTGCTTTATTAAAATTTTGATTTTGAGTGAAAAAAGTTTCGCTGATTTTTTTGACCAAAAAAAAAAATTGAAAATATTGAAAAAATACCATAATCACTATTTTTTTGACTCACCTTGTATAATGTATATATATATGTTTTTTAATACGATTGTTAAAAATTAGCTTTTGTGATCCAGTTTAATTTAATTCTTAAACATCCGCCAAAATGTGATAAGAAAATCTTCCAACTTATAGTTGAGCATTTGTTGAGCAAAGATGTACTACCAAAGATTGCTGGCAAAGCATGAAACCACATTAGTTTTTTTCTTTGTCAAATAAAATGTGAAGTTAAAAATGGAAATATATATCTAAATCTATTTAGAATTTACGAACTAGAGAATAGATTAAAGGATCCACCTAAATTCAGATTTCCGTCATTTGAGGTAGGTTTAATTTCTTTTATTGTTAGTTGAGTTGATCATCTTTCCATTTAAAAGGACAAACCGGCTATTAACTACCATACATATAACTATTAACTACCTTACATAGCCGGTCTGTCCCTTTAAATCAAACCAAATATTTATTAGTGAAGGTATAATTATTCTTGACAATATCATGATCACAAATTATGATAAATCCTCACGAGGGAAAAAGAATCTGGTGGGCCAGATTTTCATCAATTACCCTTTAGTATGCAGCATAGTGTCAGAGGGGGGGGGGGGGGGATCCTGGACGAGTGGAAGAGAAGGTAGGACGGAAGGAGGATAAAAATACACAAACATGATTTTAATCGAAAAATAATGCTTGGCTCAATAAACTACGTATCACAACAAACAATATCGTATTTAACAAGGATAAAGCTCAAGAGTCAAATGTTTGTAAGAGAATATATCCCATTTTTATTACTGCACAAAAATGTAAGGACACAATAGTCTTTCACAATGGAACCTATGTAAATTATCAAAAATATCGGTTTTACCTGCCTTGGTTGATTTCCCTTAGAGTAGGGGGAATGAGATTAGGGTGCCAGATTGAACTGGTGGGGGAATCAATACCTGACTGAGACCCTTCCTTCGGATAGCGGTCTGGGGATCCCATATTCGGGATCTTTCATGATCTTTTTTTATATTATCACAAGCAGATTTAAGCAGATTTAGCCTTTCAGTAATTCTTTTAATAATCCATCTTAATCAGTTTCTTAATTTTTTCTGAAATCCTTTCCTTAATTTGTTTCTTAATTCTTTCAATAATCCTTTCTTTAATTTGTTTCTAAATTCTTTTAATAATCCTTTCATTATTCTGTTTCTTAATTCTTTCAGTAATCCTTTCATTAATCCATTTCTTTATTTATTCATTTAATCATTCATTAATTCATTCATTCTTTTATTCATTCATTCTTTCATCCTTTTATTCATTCATTTATTTATTTATTTATTTATTTATTTATACATTTATTCATTCATTTATTCATTCATTTATTCATTTATTCATCCTTTTATTTATTTTTTTATTTATTCATTTATTCATTCATTCATTCATTCATTTATTCATGCATTCATTCATTTATTAATTCATCCTTTCATTCATTCATTCATCCTTTCATTCATTTATTTTATTAAATGACTTTTTTGAAATAATTCATTAATTCTTATTTATGATATATTGACTCATTGATTTGTAGATTTTTAATTAATTGAATGAATGATTGATTGTTGATTGATTGTTTGAATGATCGATTTTTTGATTGAATGTTTGATTGATTAATTCAATCATTGTTTCATTGGTTGATTGATTGAGTCATTGATAGCTTGGACCATCGATTGATTGATCGATTGATCACTTAGGTGGTGCACTGGTTAGCTGCAGGGAAGCTGAAGAAAGATCTGGCGGATTTAAACTCAGGAACAAAATTGAATTTAAACTGACAAAACTAAACTTTCGATTGTTTAATGGTATTAATGACGAACTATTTTATCCAGAAAATGCCAAATTTTTATTATTCGTTACTGAAATCTTTATTTATGAGATGTCCTTGTTAAGTCAATTGTCCAAAGAAATTGGCAGGAATCTTTATTACTTATTTACTTTTATTTTCAAAGTTTTTGAGTTCTGGTGGTTTAGAAAATATATTTTTTGAATATTTTTTAATTTTGATTTTGTCTGTATAGACAACACTCCCTGTCCAATCAATCTTCTAAATGGTATTCGGTCCTTGGTCACCACACTCAAGTCCTGGATTACAGGTTCAAATTATTATTATTTTTGTTGTTATTAAATTATTATTATTATTATTATTATTATTATTATCTATATAATAAAACAAGACATTCGTATACCCGACCAAACGGCTAAATCGATTGGGCTGACATTTTTTGTGGACACTCATTGGTGGCCGGGGGGTGTTATAGGCTGAAAAAATCGAATTTCTTCACATTTTTTCCTTCCACGGGCAATGCCGGGCCCTTCAGCTAGTTATTATTATTATCAGAACATGATTTAATTGATCCAATATTTAGGTTTCATTGATTTTTGATGCGGATCCTCACTGGATTTGCAAAAATTTTTTTTTGCAAAGCAGAATTGTCATATTATTTATTTTCTTCTTTCTTATTTCTGGCTTCACCTTAAAGTTTGGCAGATACCACCCAACCAATGGGAACAATTGGGGATAATACCCAAAACAGCGAAAGCTAATCTGCACCTAATTGCTTTAATACATACATATAGTAAAAATTTAAAAAAAAGTTGCAGATTTTTCCTGTAACATTAAAACTTGTATGTGTATTTTTAGCAATAAACTATATCTTATCTTATTGGTTTGCTACCCACCGGAGGTATCTCCTTGACTCCCCGGGCTTACAAGGGGGGGTTAAAGGTCCGGCGGCAGTCTGGGGGGTCCACATTGTGGTCTCTTGTAGATTTCATTTACTAATGTTCCTTATATTATTTCTATATTATCTTTGTTACTTGTTAATATTATAATTATTATAATTATTATAATAATTATTGTTATCGTTAATCTTATCGTTATCGTCGTTGTCGTGTCGTGGTAGTTGTCGTTGTCATCATTATCACAGCTCTCATTATTATCAATTATTATTACAGATATAAACCACCCTGTAATATCAGACCTGGACTGTGCAACCACCTTGAAAGATCTGACCAGAGAGGTCAAGAACGCAGAGAGAATATCACTCAAGGTCAGGGCGAAACTTTAAAGTTTTTATTTACATTTTTATGGGAAAACATGAAAACTTGTAAGATTTCTCTCTAATAAATCCGTTTCCGTCCATGCTTATGTTTGAAGGTTTCTTTCTAAGAAACCCCTTTATCCTCCCCGGCCTGTATTAGAATTTTTCTCTCTAATAAACCCCTGTATCCGCCCCTGCCTGTTTTTAAAGGTTTCTCTTTATTGAACCCCTGTATCAATCCTTGTCTGTATTTAAAGGTTTCTCTCTAATAAACCCCTATCCGCCCCTGCATGTATTTGAAGGTGTCTCCCTAATAAACACCTGTATCCGCCCCTGCCTGTATTTGAAGGTGTCTCCCTAATAAACACCTTTATCCGCCCCTGCTTGTATTTGAAGGTTTTACCCAATAAACCCCTGTATCTGCCCCTGCCTATATTTGAAGGTGTCTCCCTAATAAACACCTTTATCCGCCCCTGCCTATATTTTAAGGTTTTACCCAATAAACCCCTGTATCTGCCCCTGCCTGTATTTGAAGGTTTTTCCTAATAAACCCCTGTATCTGCCCCTGCCTGTATTTGAAGGTTTTTCCTAATAAACACCCCTGTATCCGCCCCTGCCTATATTTTAAGGTTTCTCTCTTATAAACCCCTGTATCCGCCCCTGCATGTATTTAAATGTTTCTCCCTAATAAATCCCTGTATCCGCCCCTGTCTGTAGTTGAAGGTTTTGTTCCTAACAAATTTCTGTATACGCCCCTACCTTTATTTGAAGGGTTTTCCCTAACAAATTTCTGTATCCGCCCCTGCCTGTGTTTAAATGTTTCTCCCTAATACATTCATGTATCCGCCCCTATCTGTATTTAAATGTTTCTCCCTAATACACTCCTGTATCCGCCCCTGCATGTATTTAAATGTTTCTCCCTAATACACTCCTGTATCCGCCCCTGCCTGAATTTAAACGTTTCTCCATAATACATTCATGTATCCGCCCCTATCTGTATTTAAATGTTTCTCCCTAATACACTCCTGTATCTGCCTCTGCCTATAATTAAATGTTTCTCCCTAATAAACTCCTGTATCCGCCTCTGCATGTATTTAAATATTTCTCCCTAATAAACTCCTGTATCCGCCTCTGCCTGTATCTAAATGTTTCTCCCTAATACACTCCCGTATCGGCCCCTGCCTTTTAAATTGTAAGATTTTGTTTTGTAGGTAAACCCACCAAAGCCGGAGCGAGAATCCAACCGTCGACGAAAGAAGAAAACATTAGACGAAGATTTTATTGATATTTCTGATCCTGGGAGCTTGTACCTGCTGGACTACCAACCACAAACCACAAGTAGGATTTGAATTACCAACCACAAACCACAAGTAGGATTTGAATTACCAACCACAAACCACAAGTAGGATTTGAATTACCAACCACAAACCACAAGTAGTATTCGAATTACCAACCACAAACCACAAGTAGCTTTTCAATTACCAACTGCAAACCACAAGTAGGTTTTCAATTACCAACTGCAAACCACAAGTAGGATTTGAATTACCAACTGCAAACCACAAGTTGGAATTGAATTACCAACAGCAAACCACAAGTAAGATTCGAATTACCAACCACAAACCACAAGTAGGATTTGAATTACCAACCACAAACCACAAGTAGGATTTGAATTACCAACCACAAACCACAAGTAGGATTCAATTCAAGCAGAAACCAGAATTGTCGAATAGGGAGACGACAATAAAGCAATATATGTGTATTTGATGATGTTATAAAAATCAAATAGTTTTAGTAGCTTAAAAATCCCTTTTTTAAATGGGCCTGTGAACACAGCACAATTGCAGTTTTTATGTTGCTTGGACTATTTAAAATGACTTGGATATACTTTGATGAATGTACTTGGATAAATGTACTTGGATATACTTGGATATACTTGGATATACTTGGATATACTTGGATATTCTTGGATATACTTGGATATACTTGGATATACTTGGATATACTTGGATATACTTGGATATACTAAGAGTCCCACTTATGCGTGTCCATATAAAGCGGCTCGTGGGCTTTGGTTGGCCATAAACATTTAGGTATGTTGAGGGCCATAAACAGTTAGGTATATTTAGAGCCATAAACATTCAGGTATGTTTAGGGCCATAAACATTTAGGTATGTCTCATCATAGTCTTTATGAAATTTTTCAGAGTTTTTGCAGATGTCAGGAATATAATTCCAAAGTTTGAGAGCTCTAGCATTATTAAAACTTTAGGCTTTAGGCTAAGAATATTCGAGGCCAGTCTAGTATCTTGCGTTGTGTCTTAAAAATTGTCTACCTCTTCATCTACAGTTTTATGTTTCTCACAAAAGAAAATTCTTGTTCCCGTTATTAAGTTTTTTATGCTCAAGTCAATTTGAAGAAAAAAATTAAATTTAAGAAATTTCGTATTTAGCTCCTAAGAAAGGCCGTGGAAGAATTGAGAAAGTTATCGCTGTCAAATCCAAACCCATCGATCATCTTTCCTCGTTCCCCTTCTCCTCTCCTCCTCTCCCTTCTCTCCACCCCCATCTTCCTTCCTACGGAGCTCCCTCTCAACCCCTTCCTGGCACACCGGGTCCTCAGTCATATCTTTACTCAGAACCAACAGTCTCTCCTCTTAAACTCAGGTAAACTTTGAAGAGAGTGAACTGTGAAGAGGACTGTGTAGAGCAGAAGTTAATGAGAATTTATAAAATGTCGTCTTCTAAACCTACTGATAATGGAATGCTGCACATATTTAATTTTTTAATTAAATAATTTTGGAGCTCTTTTCCTGCATATTTTATGGCTGTTTTTTTACAATTAATAAGACTTAGATATAATAGCATTAAACTCAAGACGACATTTTATTAATTCTTTCGATGTCTCCAAAGTTCTGTTTATTTAATGACAAATTTGTTTTTATTTAGTTTGTCAGTTCCCAAGAACCAGGAATACCTGGACGGTGCAATTATTGATAACAGAGGTAACTTAAATTTCTTTTTTTAAAGTTATTTTTCGCTAAATTGGTTAAAATAAAATTTAAGGGGGAAATAAAAACGAGTTTTTGGGTAAAGTAACAAAAATAATGAAAAACTTGCCTTTTAAAGCCAATTATTCCCCTCATCATCAGAAATCACCCCCCCCCCCCCTGCAGAATTATCTCTCATCCATTTATCCATCTCTTTCTCCTTATGTGGAGATGTCATGTAATTTATTCTAAAAAAATGGCAATGCCCGATTTACAACTTGAAACTTTAATATGAACAAAAATGTGGAAGATAATGTCGTTTATGACAAAAGTGGGTTTTTTTCTGTGAGTTTCTCCATTGCTTCTGATAAACAAGAAATGCGCAAGTCTTTTTTGCAGAGAAACCGCAAGTGAAAATAAACAGTTTAAAGAAACACAAACATGGATATCTAATTCAAACTTGATCAGACAAAGCTTTCAAGGGTACCTTTGTAAATCGGACATTGCCATCTTTGCATGAAGGGTCGCTAAAAATTACGCTTGCAGTCCCTTTAAAAAGCTTCTTTTTTAAGGAGAAATTCCGATCTCTAAACGCGCAGAAGAATCAGCATATTCTGGTAAAGAATTATTATTTAAAAAAATAAAAAATCAAATTCTAAAATATTTATTTCTTCAAAACAGTTAAAGTTTAAGGGCTTACGTTTGATTGAATATGAGATGTTATTCAAATTGACCTTGACCTTGGACTAACACTTGATTACCGACTTTGATTTTTTACTTTGATTTTAACCATGCCCAATGACAGAATTTGGCCTTAACCATAACCTTGATTTTCACCTTGACCTTGACATTGTTATTGACATAACCATAACCTTTACATCGACCTTGACTTTGACCTTGACATTGTTATTGACATAACCATAATCTTTACATCCACGTTAACTTTGAATTTGACCTTGACCTTGACCTTGACCTTGACCTTGACCTTGACCTTGACTTGACTTTGACTTTAAATCTTTGGCCTTGATCTTGATCATGACTATCAAAAGTTGAACCACTTAGACCATGACTAATGATTATGACCGTTATCGGCACTTGATGGCCCCGAAATTGATTCTTAGTTTCATCTTGACCTTGATTTTGATTTTGATAATTATCAAGGGATTTTTTTATCGTTGGGCTTTTTACCTTGATCTTGATAAAGAATTCGACCATAACTTTTACCTTTTGTTCTCCTTCACCCAAACTTCAAATATATATATTCTGACCCATCTCATTGAAAGTACTAAATGGAATCAAATATTCTTTTTAAAACGGGAATACTTGAAATATTACTGGGAACTAGACAGAAGGAGTAGGTAAAGTATTTGAGATATTACTTGATAGACTTTCTGACCTCGTAGCTCCTCTAGTTTCGATTTAACAAGTATGAGAAGAGAAAATTTATCCAGTTATATATAAGAAAATTTATCCAGTTATATATAAGAAAATTTATCCAGTTATATATAAGAAAAAAATTTTGTTCTAAATTAGCTCTTCAAAAAGAGAAGCTATGATTGAAAACATGTAAGATCTCGTTATTACTTAAGTTTAATGACTCTCCTATTTAAAGGTTATGACCTGACTGACCGGGATTCAGTCCGTCTACTGCTTGCCACCAGGAAGCAAGCTGAACTCAATAAATCTGGAGATCTCAACTCTCAGCTCAGCGAGGCTCTCACGGATTTCGGTAAATAATCACTTTTCCCTCGTATTGCTCTGAAAATGTTGTCAATGAACTGTAGGCGTAATTTTACAAGCTTTGTTTGTTTAAAAATCATGAGAAATAATTTTTCGGTTTTAATTTTGAGTTGCGCATATCTTCTTAAAAACAATGGAGGAAGTTGTAAAAGTTAAGATTGAAACTGATTTTTATTTTACGCACAAGTAAGAGGACAGACAATTTAACTATTCCCTGGGTTTCTAGCTTTCGTTTGATATGCATTAAGCCATAGTTGAAATATTTTCTATTTGTGGAGGTCATTAGAGGTCATTAAAATTCAATTTTATTTTATTTTAGGAATTTCGATCACTAATTAGGCGTGCAACCAAAAAATTGGAAGATTTGAACCAAAAATTAAGGCGGGGCCCCCCCCCCCCCCCTACATCAAATGTGCCAACTCCACCATCCCCTTTAAATCATTCGTGCAATTTACTTTTATTTGACGGTATATACAAGGTGTCTTTGAAAAACGGGGAATCAGGGTCTACAGACTCGTTTGTAACCCGATTTTCAAGATTGAGACCATTTTTTTAAATCTATTTACAATTTCTGGTTCAATCAGACCAACTTAGGCTTGTAGATCCAAAAATGACAATTTAAAGGCTTCTAAAGTTTCCAAATGGAGTGAGTAAATTTGGTTTAAAAAAAAGATTATCTCCGTTTGCACATAAGGGTCTTTGCAGACTCGTTTGTTATCGGATTTTTAAGATTGAAACTAGGTTTGCAATGTTAGATTGCAACCCCGGGGATGCGATTGATTGCGAATTTTTCTTCAAAAAATTGAGGATTTACAACTTCAAAAACATAAATTTGATTTTATTTCTTAACATCAGAAATATGTGTTAAAAACTAAATAGATTTTACAGTTTTGAACTCTGAAAAGGTTGATTTTTATGTAAATTAAAATGTTTTATTTTGTGGAACAAACTCCATTAAATTTAGAGTTGAAAAAATTACATATCTCTTCATTCACGCGAGGCATTAAAGATGCAATAAATATAGGAATGAAAATTACATTGCCTCCTACATTTATTGCATCCCTATTGAGGTGACTCGGATTTCAGTATTTAAAGGACTTTTCTTGTATTATCATTTTCATGAAAGGTACCGACAGGACCTTCATGCAACTGGTAAGTGTGCAGCGGGTTTGTGGCAGTACGCCATTGAACTTGACCCATGCTTGGTGGTACACACTTCGGCCCGTGTGGCCAACCGCCAATGACACCCTGCTACTCCCTTTGGGGATAGTGCGGTGACGTGGGCTCTACCCAAACCTCTCTTCGGACTGATGGGTGACTGTTATATTTATTTATTAATAATAAAAAGTTATTGTAATCTAGGAAGAGAACAGGAGGGACTGGTTATAGACGAGAAAGCTGCAAAGAAGTTTAAAAAATCTATAAAACTTCGTTTGTCTGTTTCTTCTAGTACTGAGCCTGTTGTACTGGCAGAACCAAGTGTTCAACCCCCCTACCCTCAGTTAGGTAGGCTTACCACAGGGGAAAATAGTTCAACCAACCCCCCCCCCACATCAATTTTTATTCACATGGTACCACCCTCCAAATCAGAGAATAAAAATAAAGGGAATACAAATAATCCATCTTCTATTATAACTTTTATTTATAAATATAATAAAAAAATGCGAGTTTACAATTTTGTTATCGTTACCATTTATTTATTTATTATTACCATTGTTAACGTTATCCTTATTCTTGTTCTTATTCTTATTCTTATTGTTTGTTATTTGTTATTTGTTGTTTGTTAATTGTTATTTGTTATTTGTTAATTGTTAATTGTTAATTGTTATTTGTTATTTGTTATTTGTTGTTTGTTAATTGTTAATTGTTAATTGTTAATTGTTATAATTGTTAATTGTTAATTGTTAATTGTTAATTGTTAATTGTTAATTGTTAATTGTTAATTGTTAATTGTTAATTGTTAATTGTTAATTGTTAATTTTTAATTGTTATTTGTTATTTGTTATTTGTTGTTTGTCATTTGTTAATTGATAATTGATAATTGTTAATTGTTAATTGTTAATTGTTATTTGTTATTTGTTATTTGTTGTTTGTTGTTTGTCATTTGTCATTTGTTAATTGATAATTGTTATTTGTTATTTGTTGTTTGTTGTTTGTTGTTTGTTAATTGTTGTTTGTTAATTGTTAATTGTTAATTGATAATTGTTAATTGTTAATTGTTAATTGTTAATTGTTAATTGTTAATTGTTAATTGTTAATTGTTAATTGTTATTTGTTATTTGTTATTTTTTGTTTGTTGTTTGTTAATTGTTATTTGTTAATTGTTGTTTGTTATTTGTTAATTGTTAATTGTTAATTGTTAATTGTTAATTGTTAATTGTTAATTGTTATTTGTTATTTGTTATTTTTTGTTTGTTAATTGATAATTGATAATTGTTATTTGTTGTTTGTTGTTTGTTAATTGTTAATTGTTAATTGTTAATTGTTAATTGTTAATTGTTAATTGTTATTTGTTATTTGTTATTTGTTATTTTTTATTTGTTAATTGTTATTGTTGAATAGATAGTCCAAGTACCCGGGATGCTGTTGACGGAATGCTCTTCATGTCTCAGAAAGCAAAACTTCATCCGAAGGTACAAAATCTTTGAGCTACGCTGATAAAAAAGTATTGTTCGTAAAATCGAACAATCGAAACCATATCGAAGTTTCCAACATTTTGGTCAACATCATAAATAGAATTTTAGGATATCTCATAAAGTTTACATTCTTTATATTCTTTTAGTCATTTAGAACAAAATACTCACAATTTAGAAATACTTTTTGTCAATTTTACGATTTTTTTACTAATAAGAGTTAAATTAAATATTTTTTCTTTTTACAGATCATGAGTTCGATATTTCTTTATTTATTTAATGCAAGCTTTTATTAGATTAGAAATTGATTTTCATTTGGACTCAATTAAACAAAAAAAAATTTCTTTTCCTTCAAAATCCCCCCCCCCCCCGCCCCTCGTGAATATGATATGCAGAGAAAAAGGATCACTTATAAAAAAAGATTGTTGACCAAAATCTGTTTTAAAAAAATGGAGAAGCCGGGATTAGGGTTATTTTGGGATTCTTAACTCGAAAATTATACTGCTAAAATTTAATTGACGAATAAAATGCCTCAAATTATTTCTAAGATCAAAGACGACCTTCAAGTCGTCTTGCTGCCGTGTTATTGCGTGGGACACTCTGAATTTTACAATAATTAACCAATTTTTAGATCGCAATGAAAGCCTCTTTTCGAAAGAAAATAAGCACTGCCCCTAACAGGTAATTTATTGAATTCCTTTTTATTTTAACTTAGTTTAATCCATTCATTATTATAAAGGTTAACCCAGAATAATCTAGAATTATAACGATGTTCTTCGTTTTTACCATGGTTATAATGCAAGGAAAGTTAATTGCAGTTGCGTATACTCTGCGCACATATTAAAACCAGTTCTCTCTTGGCGGAATTTGTAAGCAAGAATATATGCATCAGTGTTCTTTTAGTATCTGAGGGGGTTAAAAGCATGACATTTTGATAATTCACATAATAGTTTCCTATGACCAGAATATTTCATTGATTTTTTATGTGAAAGATGGATCCCATGTCAGGCTTCGTCATCTTGCTTGTGTTTACATTACCGCCCAGAGACAGTACACTGCAGTACAAAAATGCGTACACCTCTGAAATAACTTTCCTTGATTTCTCTTAACATTTAAATGCATAAATCAGAATTTTGTAACATTCTTTGTGGTAACCTACTAACCCTGTATTTTGCTGATGATAATTCATTTTTAATTAATATTGTTTATTTAAGATAATTTATTTTACAGTGGTAGGCGATTATATCAATACTATGAAGACGACTTTCGATTTCAATTTTGATTTCTTGAAAGCTGTGAAAAGGCAAGGCTACACATAAACATAGAAGTCAAGAGAAGATGTCAAATTGCTTCTCTTTGATTACTTGTAATTCGAAGGAAACTTGTTAACAATCTAAACATACATAAAAAGTCGTCTTCATTGTATTGATATAATGGCCTACCACTGTAGAAAACTGCATATTTTATATTTATTAATGAATGATAAATTTTATATTATTGAGGATTTTTATTGTTTATTTATTGAATAGTGAAATGATAAAAATTTATTATTATTTTTAGACTGAAAGAAGAGAAAATAAATAAAGTTCATCAGGACGATGATTTTATTTATCCTGGATTAGGTAGATTTATTTATCTTTTTATTGTTTATTTATCCTTTCATTGTTTATTTATCCTAGATTAGGTTGATTTATTTATCCTTTCATTGTTTATTTATCCTGGATTAGGTAGATTTATTTATCCTTTCATCGTTTATTTATCCTAGATTAGGTAGATTTATTTATCCTTTCATTGTTTATTTATCCTAGATTAGGTAGATTTATTTATCCTTTCATTGTTTATTTAGCCTACATTAGGTAGATTTATTTATCCTTTCATTGTTTATTTATCCTAGATTAGGTAGATTTATTCATCCTTTTATTGTTTATTTATCCTAGATTAGGTAGATTTATTTATCCTTTCATTGTTAAGATGTATCAGACGACGAAGAACTGCCCGTCAGAAACGACGACGAATCTTGGAATCCAAAAATTAAAATGTCAACCTTTGGTCCTAAAAAAGAGCGACCAATAAGAGAATCCGCCAAAAATATTGCAATTGAAAAAGGTCTGAAACACGCTGCCGAGAATCGAAACAGTTTCGCGAGAATCAAAAGCTCGGGAAAAATTGTAAAGAAGCGATCTGACGAACACAAGATGTCGCCGAAAACGTTAGCCTTGTCGTTCGACGACAAGAACCGCGGTCGGAAAGTGTGTTCAACAGCCAAGCAAAGACTGGGCAAGATTTTAGGTTTAAAATTTTAAGTTTAGAATTCAAATTCAATTGAAACTGTGTAACGATAGTTTGTACCAAAGTCTGTATTATTATTCTCTACTTCAGAATCTTTTGTAAATGTGCATTAGTTTTTTTACAGTAATTAACAAGGTATAAGAGTGGAATTAAAGTCGTCATCTTTTAAGATTAGAAACGTGATTTATAACATTAGAGTAAATAGATAAACAGTAAAGATGAACTGAATCTGGTAGATATAGATTTTAAAAACATGTCTCACACTAGATTGCGCTAGCTTGAAGTTTAGACATAAAGCTTGCAGATTTTTTTCTCTCTTAGCTTTCCACAGACTCAGTGACCTCTAGGGTGGAATATTAATTAAAATGTATATTTAGCAGTATGGGCAAATGCGAAGTGGAGGGGGTTCCAGGTTCAGGTAGGAAATGAGGGGGGGGGTAATGAAGATTCTAAATCTATTTACTCTAATTTTATAACTAGAATAACTCTGAAATTAGCATTGAACATTAAATCACCGATATATCGGCCATGAAAGTAAATTACAATCTAACAAAGACGATTTTCATTCTGTTTTTGGTTATTGGTGTATTTTATTTTAACCTTCCGGCCTCAAGATAGACGTACATTAAAAAAGTTATCGTTTGAACACTCTTAATGATGCAAAGTACAATTTGCATATGTTCTACGGTCGTTGTCGTATATATCAATACAATGAAGACGACTGGGAAATAGACAGTCGTCTTCATTAGACTGAGCTTGATCAAACATCATGTGGATAAAAAAAATCATGGGAACAAAGAAAAGCTGTCAATTAACAGTTTTTCCTTGTTTAATTGTAAACATGTAATTTGAAGACAAAACTTTCATTGACAAGTCGTCTTCATTATATTGATATAAATGCTGACGACTGTATTATAGATATATTTAAAATTATATGTGACAAATATTTGTTATCAAGGAAGATGTAGGAATGTGTTTGTTTACATGATAAATGGTACTGCTATTCTTGTGAGAAATATGCATAAATCAGGGGCTACACCTGAAGCGGAAATTAAAGAAAATATCTTTAAAAGAAGCTTCAGAGTTTCCTTTTTGGAGTCTATGCAATTGTGAAGATATTATTTTAAAAACTAGAAAATGAAAATGCAATTCATTTTATTATAATTTGAACCCATATATGAAACCTGGGTTCCGGGCCTTACCATAAGTTCTGTGTACATATCTCCCAGAAACTGCGGTACACAGTTTATGTAAACAAGCATGTGTACTTTCCTTATTTTTATCGTTTTCTTGCGTTTATTGTACAACTGTGACTGTTTAAAATTGTACACTTATCTGATTTTAAAACCATTTTGTGAACATGTTCTACATTGCAACATTATGTTCAATGTACGCACTTTTTAACAATTCAATTATGGAAGTCTGCAGAGTTACGCACAAGGATTGTGACTCCACAGCTGTTAACTTACTTCTTTTCTTGGCCTATTCATCTAAAATAACATTCCGAATTGAGTTACAGGTCAGTCATTATTTATGGGTAACCCTGTATACTAATGACAATTGTAAATTAAAAATGAAATTAAAAATTCGATGAAAATTTAAGAATTTCTGATTTGTCTGTTTTAATTGATCTCAAGCAGTCTTATCTCAAGCAGTCTTATCTCTTATTATTGAAATTGTGTATTTGTAAGATGCTTTATTACTTTGTTTTGTAAACTCTGTCTTTCTTTTGTAAAATATATAATAGTTAAACTTATACCAAGGGAAACGGAAGTTTAGCAAATAAATTTTGTTCTATAATTATATATTCACAAATATTTTTCTTTAGTTCATCATGACTATTTTACAGTTACAATTTTTAACTTTCTCCACAATGTTTTTTGAAAAATTAGTTTTTATTTTTCATGAGGGTCATCAGATAGGCTCGGTTCTATAATTATATATTTTCAAATATTTTTCTATAGTTCATCATGACTATTTTACAGTTACAGTTTTTAACTTTCTCCACAATGTTTTTTGAAAAATTAGTTTTTATTTTTCATGAGGGTCATCAGATAGGCTCGGTTCTATAATTATATATTCACAAATATTTTTCTATAGTTCATCATGACTATTTTACAGTTACAGTTTTCACTTTCTCCACAATGTTTTTTGAAAAATTAGTTTTTATTTTTCATTAGGATCATCAGATAGGCCCGAACGGTAATGTTGCAACGTCTATACGCAACATCCTCTATACTGAACTTCTGACCTACTAACTTTCTGACCTATTGCTATATCCGACCTACGACAGCTGTAGGTCGGTTGCACATTTTATTTTTTTAATCCGACCTACCGGCATGATTGAGTTCTAGCCATGTGCATCTGGAGGATCCATGGAGCTCGAGTTAATGATAGGTCCGATTTACACTCTTTTTGTAGGTCGGATGTACACTTTTTGTAGGTCGGATGTACACATTTTTGTAGGTCGGATAGCTCTTTTTGTAGGTCGGATGTGCACTTTTAGTTGGTCGGATATACACTTTTTGTAGGTCGGATAAACTCTTTTTGTAGGTCGGATGTGCACTTTTTTGTAGGTTGGATATGCATTTGTAGGTCGGTTAAACTCTTTTTGTAGGTCGGATGTACACTTTTTGTAGGTCCGATATACACTTTTTGTAGGTCGGATGTACACTTTTTGTAGGTCGGATATACACTTTTTAAAAAAACCATCAAAATATGAAATGAACAAAAAATTGTTCATCTGAAATTCCTCCTCCTCCCCTCGAAAGTTTAGTTGGTCGGAAGTTCAAGGATGTTACAGTTCTCTCTACTCGGTATCAGCTGATCTGCTGCCAAAAACCATAGTCAGTAGTTATACTCAGTGCACTCGTGCACATGTCTGAAGTCCCCCGGGTTTTTATATTTTAATTAGTATTTTTGATTCGTGTCGCGTTGGTTTATAAACTAGATTTATTTAAGTCACCTGTATAGTCTCATTTTATTACAGATTAGGGTCCGTCCCAGAGAACGATTGGGTCTGTCCAAAAGAACGATTTTTTGACCCCCCTCAGCCGGTGACATTGAAACGCCTCAACACGGAAACGCCTCAACGCGGAAATGTCTCAAAAAACGGACTCATAAAACTAATTTAATGTCGTCTTCTCTCATTAAAAAAAAATTTACAATTATTTTACCATTATGGTAAGTTAGGTTGCGCCACAGGCTACGAAGGGGGGCCGAGCGCTACGGCTAGGATGGCTATAAGGGGGCCGAGCGCTGAGACTACGACAGGCTAGGGGGCCGTGCGCTACGGCTGGCTAGGAGGCCGAGCGCTGCGGCCATGGCTGTGAAAATCAGTAGAATATAGTCTTTTTAATTTTAAGTTGAGAGAAGACGACATTAAATTAGTTTTATGATTCTGTTTTTTGAGGCATTTCTGTGTTGAGTCGTTTCCGTGTTGAGGCGTTTCCATTATCCGACCTACAAATATGTAAATCCGACCTACAAAAAAAAGTATGATCCGACCTACAAATGCGTATATCCGACCTACAAATGTGTATATCCGACCTACAAACGATGAACATCCGACCTACAAATTTGTACATCCGACCTACAATTGAAGAACATCAGACCTACAGTAGGTCGGATCAAACAAAAGTTTTTTTAATTAAGGTGCAACCGACCTATAGTTTAACCGACCTACAGCAGCTAAAAAGCAGCTGGAAAACCACGTGGAAGTAGGTCAGAAGTGTAATATAGAGGATTTGCGTAGGTCGAAAAATACACCACCGCTCGGTTCAACTTGCTATATATGTCGTCTTCCTTTCCAAAGTTTTCTGTGTATGAAATTATTTTTAGACATGGCAGTCAGAATTTATGTTATTTTATGATAATTCATAGTAGTATTACTTTGAACTACAGCTAAATTCTATTATTATGTTGATAGTATTACTTAATGGTTTTATCTTTTACATAAGTTTAAGATGTCTTTAACATTTTCCTAAACCTTTTTCCAGAAAATTTTGGAAAAATTGTTCTGTAAACCGGAATTTTCCAGAACAGTATTCTGTAACATTCCGTAATTCCTGAAATTTCCGGTTTACGGAAAAAATTGTTTCGGAAACCGTTCCAGATTTCAGGAACCTTTTCCATAATGGAAATGGAAAAAATTTATGGATCATTTCCGTCCGTAAACGGTAACCCAAAATTCTGGAGGAAACTCTAGTTAAAGTCATTTAGCAACTCAAGAATATGTATCACCAGGCTGCAGATACCTATTAATATATAGGAGTTTTATCAGCTACTTTATCATACAGAAGAAGGAACAGCATCTGTATTCCAACCTTGATATTATCTAGCTTCATATGGAACTTAGAGCCAAGCATCTGGGATTTGTGGACAGCAGGAATCTGCTGTCCACTGTTTGGATCATGTTGAAAACTAAAGTTCTCTTTAGAAATGGTTTTGCAACTTTTGAAGGCATGGTGAAGCTGAGGAGAACCAACCATGTTATGACTTCAGAAAAGGTTTGCTGTTGTGATTTCATTCCTGGGTTTACCATTTTCCAAGTCAACAATTTTCTGGATATTTTCATATAACTGACTAGATCCTTCTCTGTCTATGGGATTTCATGTTTGAATGGGTTTCATTCTCAAGCATGTACTTATTGGACAAAAGGTTAGCTTCTTCAGTAGAATTCAGGGCAGAACCAGCCAGCTGGGCAGTAACATTTCTAGTGAAAGGAGAACAATCAACCTTTTTCAGCAGACTGTCTCCAGTCTTCAGGTGTTGTAAATACTTCTTTTACTTGATCTACTTTCCGCCTCCAACATATGATGTTTATATCAATATCCAGGATTGTTGTGTTGGTAGCAGCTTCATGCATATCATAGTTAGTGTAGTCTTCGACAGCAGGGTCGAAGGTCTCCACCAGTTTCTTTACTCTTTCTTCCTCATAAGCAACACCTCAAAAGCAGTACTAGACAGCCTGTTGATGAATCTAAAGTGTATGTTACTGAGTACTCCACTCACAGGTAAGGTTGGTTAAAGAACCACATTATGTTCTTGAGTCTGGTAGTTGTTTGACAAAAGGTTAGCTTCTTCAGTAGAATTCAGGGCAGAACCAGCCAGCTGGGCAGTAACATCTCTAGTGAAATCTAGTAGAATCAACCTTTTTCAGCAGATTGTCTCCAGTCTTCAGGTGTTGTTAATTCTTCTTTTTAACTCGATCTACTTTCCATCTCCAGAGAATAATTTTTCTGTCAGTATCTAGGATTATTTAGTATGTAACTGGCTTATCCAGATCAAGGTTCATGTAGTTGTCAGCAGCAGCTGTGTAGACCTCCATCAGGTCCTTTACTCACTCTTCTTCATTGGCAACATAACCCAGAAACTGTGTCTCTGACATATTTTCAATGTTGTTTATCTCAGAACAAACATTTGTCCTCTTACTGATGCATCTAGTGTTTGTGTCCATTTTGGTTTCAAATTCATTCAAAGAGAATAACCTTTCTGCCACCATAGATTGCTCTAGAGCTTCTTTGTGTTTGAACATGTTTTTAGCCAACACTAGATTTAGTTCAATATTAATTTTTATAATTCCCAGAACTTGGATACCTTGGGGTTGGGAAGCAAAAATACTTGCAGTTTCATTTCTCGCACATTCTAGATCTTCCACTAATTTACAAGGGTCTCTATATTCAGCAGCTCCCAGGATAAATCTAAACAAGTTCTTAACTCTATGAAGCTTCTTCTGCACCAGAATTCTATCTTGTTCCTCAATCTCAGAACTAGATTCTAATGAATCATCCTTAACCTGGGCTGAACCTTGATCATTTAAGGGTAATCTATCAAGTTCATCCTTCTTAGTACATTGTGTATTTCAAATTTATCCATTTGGATCTGTTGTTTCCCTGATTTATAAAGAATTGGGGAGAGGGTTTGGGGTAGGAACTTCTCTCAGGTTTGTCTTGCAGGATCCTCTGCTCCTCATAGTGGCTCCATACACGCTCAATCAGTTCTGCCTGAAGAGAGATCAATGTTTCTCAATTCTTCTCTTAGGATTGGCACCTCGAGGAAACAAACTTCTTCATAAGTGAAGTTATTCATCTTCATATCATACTTTAACAAGAGTTGCTAAATCCATTTATAATTTTACAACCCCCAAAAGAACTGAAAATTAAGATTCTCAAATTTTAAAGTCTATAAATTTTATGGTACTTCCAAAAATATATAAACAGCCAAAAAATTAGAATTGTTCTTGGACTTAAGCCCCCCCCAGGTGGTTTTGAGAAACAATGTATAGTTGTATAGTTCCCCCCCTCCCATGAAAGGCATTTTAGGCATTTCTAAATGTTTCTCAATACTTGATATTTTTCCCATTTTTAAATGAATATTTAGTTTTGAAAACGATAATTTTTACTTTTTTAAATCTATTGGTTTGATGGTTTTTTTCCATGTTAAAAATGTTCACTATTCATATGTTTTTTTTCTATATAATAAAACAAGACATTCGAATACATGTTCCCTATAGCCGGCAAAACGAATGGACCAATTGGGCTGACATTATTTGTGGACACTCATGGGTTGCCTGGTTGGAGTGGAAAGAAAGGACAAATTTAAGCCCCCCCCCCCCCCGGACTATATTTCTGAACCCCCCCCCCCCCTTGCTTCTAGCCTGCCATATTTACAGCCCTAAGATCTTAGCTGATGTGCTTTGGCCAGAAATTGTGTTGAACTAAACTAACCCATGATATTGGCTGATTACAGGGGGGG